TCTCCTCCATTGAAACAGTACCTTTGGGATAGTCTAATCTACACCTTTTGTATTACAAAAGAGCAAACAGACTCAGAGCAATAAAGTGATTTGATCACTGTGAGACTTTTAATTCTTTGTAGAGCTGATATCGTGGTTTGAGGATGTATTCTAGGAAAGATTCCCAAAGGCATAATACAATCTACAGCGATGTAATAGTCTTCTTGTGCCGAGAATTGCTTGTGTGCATTATTGTGAAAGTACTAGCTATTTACATTCTTGATATTTATTTATTTATTTATTTTGTGAGGAAGATCAGCCCTGAGCTAACATCCATGCTAATCCTCCTCCTTTTGCTGAGGAAGACCAGCTCTGAGCTAACATCTATTGCCAAGCCTCCTCCTTTTTTTCCCCCCAAAGCCCCAGTAGATAGTTGTATGTCATAGCTGCACATCCTTCTAGTTGCTGTATGTGGGATGCCGCCTCAGCATGGGCGGAGAAGCGGTGCGTCTGTGCGGGCCCGGGATCCGAACCCAGGCCACCAGTAGTGGAGCACACGCACCTAACCGCTAAGTCACGGGCCGCCCCAACGCTATTCACTTTTAAAAACATTAAACTGTTTTAAAAGAGTTTTAATTACATGGTCTATGGGAAAGCTATCTTTTACACCTCTGGTGAAATTGCTAAGGAAAATATATTTCTAGTATTCCTCACATATGAAAAAAAGAGACAATTAGTATTTGACAATAATATATCAATGCCTTACAACTCTGGTAGTTATATTCACATGGGCCCACAAACAATTACTTACCAAAGTCTTTACATTTTCTAAAAGGGTCAAAAATTCTAAAAATTATATGAATAATAATAAGTAACATTTATTAAGTACTATCATTTAATCCCACTCATAATCCTACGAAGTACTATTATTATTACTTTTTTGTGTGGGAGGAAGATCAGCCCTGAGCTAACATCCATGCCAATCCTCCTCTTTTTGCTGAGGAAGACTGGCCCTGGGCTAACATCTGTGCCTATCTTCCTCCACTTTATATGGGACGCTGCCACAGCATGGCCTGACACGCGGTGCATCCATGCCCGCTGGGGATCCAAACCCCAACAGCCAGCAGCAGAGCACGTGCACTTAACCACTACGCCACTGGCGGGCCCAGTACTATTATTAACAATGAGAAAATGAAGCACTGTCAAAGGTCACCAAAGTGGTAAATGATGGAACTGAGATTCAAACCCTCAGAGCTTCTGCACTGGGCTTTCTGTGTGTGTGTGTGTGTGTGTGTGTGTGTGTGTGTGTGTGGTGGGGAATGGTTATACATAATTTTTTAATTTCTCAAAGTGCTTTTATATTTACTTTATTAGACATAAAGTGGAAAATATAGACTGTTATCTAGATAATTAGAATGCCTCTTGCTTCAATTATTCAGACTATTGAAGTTGACATATTTCCTGTTCAAATTAACTTAATTTTGCTAGTTGCCTAATATTAATATGTTATTTTGCATGTATAGAAATAAAACCATAAGATTAAGGAAAATGTGGTATATATATTTGCATACATAATTTTAGATAGATAAATTTACAAATTTGTAATTTACTTTATCTTATTCTTTTCACACATTTGATATAATCTTTTGGAATCTAAATAAAATATTTCAAGCTACAGAAAAGTAGGATGATGTTGCAAACACTACTCATCTTGGTTTGTCAAATTTTGATGCTGTATTTGCTGCAGATAACTTTTAGCTTTTTGAATAGTTATTATATGTTCAAAAAAATATAAAGAGTTAAATCTCCATCCCACTTTGTCTCATATGCTCAGTTCCCATCCTCACAGGTATTAGTTATATACATATTTTCCCCTAGTTTTGTGTATGTGTGTGCGCGAGTATACAAGCACATACGAATATATCTGGACTCATTTTTTTCAAAAAACATTAAAGGTAACAAATTTTTGACATTCTTCTTTGAGTCTACACTTTCTAACACTACCTCTTTACCACCGCTTCTCTCAGCTCATTTTCAATAAACAATAAAACTTATGTTCAAGGATTCTGTTGTTTACTCTGAAGAATCGGTAGTCTCGCATCAAATTGTTTGCCTCTATGCTTTCCACTCCATCTACAATCCAGTTTTTTGGAAAACTGACACCTATTCCCAAAGTCTAAAGGGCTTAGAGCGTAACGAATATGAACTTGATGCAAATAAGGAAGTTTAACTCCCCTGAGGAGTTCAGGAGGGCGGAAACGGTCGCGTGGGGAGCAGTGAGATGGGCGGAACCGGGGAAAGACGGGGAAGGACTGGGTGGGCGGGACCTGGGGGAGGCGGGTCCGGCAGGCACCGCCCTGGCCGTGCGCAGATTTGGCGCCAAACGCAGACGGCTCTTCTCGCGGCGGGAACTCCAGAGTCTCGCGAGAAGCGCGGTTCGCCCGCGCGCTGTGCCCCGCGCCGTGGCGGCTGCCGTCCGCGTGAGGTGAGAGCAGGTAGGCGTGCGAGTGAAGTTCCGGCGGGGAGAGGCGGCTGGGGGAGTCCGGCGGAGAAGCGGGGGAGCTGGGGAGTCGCAGGAAAGGAGTGAGGAGGCTGGAGGACAGGACGAGGCGGACCTGGGCTGAGCGGGACTGGCGTGGGGAGGAGGCCTGGCCGGAGGCCACCTACGAGGGTGCAGGCCGGTGGGACAGTGGGCGTGCCCGTTTACTTGTTGGTGTTTGGGGTCAGTCTCACTAAACCGAGCCTTTTAGGGGAGGGCCCGTGTGTCAGATACATCTTTCCATTGCCAGCTGCTGTACGGAGTTTCTAAACAGACGGTGTCCTGTGAACGTTGAATGAATGAAATGGAAGTGAGAGAGTAGACGGGGGAGCGAGGAGGAGGAGAAGGTGGGAGAAGTGGGCTGGGATGGGAAGTCGAGTGTCTTCAGGGGTGGTTAGCAGAGGGGGACATCGAGGCAGTCTGATAGGACGTCCCTTGCGACAAGGGCTTCTGTGTTGATAACTTGGAAAACAATAGACATCGGACACTTAGGGCCTGGGAGCGAACTGTAGTTTGGATATGGAATTTCTTTGTCACCTTCACTCCTCTGGGAGTTTGGGGACTAGAGGAGGAAGTCAAGAGAGTCTCGTCATTGTCAGAAACGGGACAGTTTGCAACCGTTGTCAAGAAGGCGGAGATACAGATGTCTTAACTCACTGCCAGGTTACTGACAAGCCCCGCCTTGTGCTGGGCCAGTTCCGTCCACAGCATCTTGCTGCACAGTTTGTGCCCTGTCACCAAACTCAGAGCTCCCTGTGGGCCTCAAAGGTGTGAACCCGGTGTCTTCCCAGAGGGCTTAACCAGAATGGGGCTAAATATACTTACTGTAGACATGAAGCTGCTTTAGATTATATGACCTCTGACTGCCTTTCCAGTTTTGAAAATCTGTGGTTCCTGAACCTGACTTGAAGATACAGTGGATCATCATCAGGAGTTGATAGTTTGTTTTCTTTTTATGCACTTATGGTCATGGAAATTTAGAATTGGAGAGACTTGAGAGATTAGCTCCAGCAGTTTTACAGTTTTGGGGAAGCTTGGGAATTCTTTTCTTCATTCCTTCACTCAACAAATATTTATCAAGCACCTGCTGTGTACCAGCTTTGGGGATACAATGGTGGAGCACAAAGAGACCCAGCTGGTCCGCCATTTTAGAGCTACAGTCTAGTATGGGAGACAAACATTCATCATATAATCACAAATAGAACCTAATATTGAAACTGGGTAAATGCCGTGAAAGTCATACTTGACGTTTTGAATGCTTATTGTAGGAGGATTTAATTTAGGGAAATTGGGGTAGACTTTTCTGAGGAGGTGATGGTTAAGATTGGAAAGAGATTAGGAGTCGGGAAGAGCCTTAAAGATAGGAAACAGCCTTTGCAAAGGTCTAGTGGCCTGAGGGATATGGCTCTTTCTAGGAACTGAAAGAAAAGAGTATGGAGAGTGGTGTGAAGTGAGGCTGGAGAAGTAGGAAGGTGCCAGACCACACGGGGCCTTGGAGTTTTATCATTAAAAGCAGTAGGAAGCCATTGAAATATTTAAGCCAAGTGGTAATGTGATCGTCTTTATATTTCCAAAGGTTCAATCTACCTGTAATGGAGAATGGATTGAAAAAGACAAAAGTGGATAGAAGTAATGGAGTAATCCAAGCAAGAAATGTTAGGAAGTGGTTGTGGAGATGGGGAGAAATGGACAGACTCAAGGGATATTTAGGAAGTAAAAGGGACAGGATATGAAGGGTGGGGGAAGGAAGTGTCGAGGATGACTTGTAGGTTTCTGACTTTTGTAGCTGGATAGATGTCCTTCAGTGAATTGGGAAAATTTAGAAGTTTGATTTTGTACATGATGAGTTATAGGTGCCTTTGAGAAATTTAAGAGCTGTGAAATGAGAAGTAGGGATATGGAGCTCAGATTTGATGTTTAGGGTGGAGAAAAAAATTGAGTCATCTATAAATGATTATTAAAGCCATGTGCATAAATGAGTGAAGAGGGCCTAGGATGGAGTCTTGGATACTTACTGACCAGGTTAGAGGAAGATGAACCTACAAAGAAGATCTAGGAGGAGTGTCCAGAAGGGGAGGAAAATCAGGTGAGTATTGTGTTTCAGAAGTCAACGAAGATACTTTTCCAGAAAAAGTAACTGATCAAAAGTGTCAGATGTTGCTGAGAAGTCAAGTAAGATGGTATTGAAAAGCATTCTTTCAAGTTATCAGCTTGAGGGTTATTTCCCTTTGTTCAAAGGAAACCTTACCTAGAAGACCAGTATGTAAACAGACTTTTTAAAAAGCTGCTCTGGTTGAAGTGGGGGTGAGGTCCCTGTAATCTGCCTATTTTACACCCATTTGAACCACAGTTTGAAACCCTCAAGTCAAAATCACCGTATGATGATAGGGGAAACTCAGCAGTTGAGGTAAAATGATTTGCTCAAAATCATATAGTTATTTAGTGGTAGGGTCTACATTAGAACTCATTTCTTCTGATTTATAGCCCAGTTCTTTTTTTCATGACTGTTATTTTCTCTGCTTCTTTCCATGATATGTGAGTTTGAAATATGGTTTAACTGACTAAAACATGCATTTTGCTGCAGATAGAACTTAACTGTGTAATAGGAAGACTGCTTGGATGAATGAACATGTTTACTTTTTTTCCCCCTAGAGGAAAAGATGCTGGAACCACAGGAGAGTGGCTTGATTGACCTACCAGACTATGAGCATGTAGAAGATGAAACTTTTCCTCCGTTCCCACCTCCAGCCTCTCCTGAGAGAGAGGATGGTGAAGGAGCTGAACCTGATGAAGGTCTGTATAGAGTTCCAAAAGAAGTGTCCCTGTTCATTTATCTATCTGTCAGCTTAGAAATGATACATTTTATAAATGAGGCTTAAATTATTTAAGTAATATTAAATCTCAGTGTATTTCACCAGAGTCAGGGAGAGGAGCACCTGTTCCTGTACCTCCAAAGAGAACAGTTAAAAGGAATATACCGAAGCTGGATGCTCAGAGGTACATTTACTATTTCCTTAAACATTTATACTTTTTCTTTACAGCCTTTTTTTTTTTTTATTTCTTATGTTACAAGCTTCTGTTGGGATGACTTGGAGATCAAATAGTTCTAAAGACATTTTTTTCAGTTCAGCACATAGTATTTTTTCTTTTTATGATCTTGCTTTGGCCTTGATGGCTGTAGAAAACTTCAAATTCAAAACATATTTCTATTCACAGATTAATTTCAGAGAGAGGGCTTCCAGCATTAAGGCATGTGTTTGATAAGGCAAAATTCAAAGGTAAAGGTCATGAGGTAAGAAATGTCTGATTTTTATTTTAAACCTTTGTTTTTTAAAATATTGATAAAACTGTGGGACCATTGTCCTGTTCTTAGGAATCTTAGAATGTTTCACAGATACTGTCGTTCATCATCATCTCTCTTGAGAAACTGTGGTGTATGGAAAGGGCACTGTTTGAAGAATCAGAAAACATGTCTTGTAGTCTCATTTTTGCCGCTGTATTGCTTTAGGAAAATCACATCTGAGTCTTTATGCCTGAGTTCATACTTTTTAATTTCGAGGAATAAAATTTACTTTGTCTACCTCAAAGAGTGATGTTAAGTTTTATGAGAGCAAGAACTTTACCTGTATTGATCACTTATGTGTCCCTAAGATATGGCACAGTGCCCGGTTCATAGTAGCATCAGTTAAGTTTTGTTGAAAAATGAAGACACTTAAGAACTGTCAATCACTGTACAAATGTACATTTTAAAACTCTATCTTTGAATGACATAGAGTGTAGGTACAATTTTTTGCAGATGATATCATTATAGAGCTTTGCGGGTTATGAAGTATTTTCAAATATGTTCTTTAATTCTCAACCTGTGGGGTAGGTGTTGGTCCGATTATCTAGTTAAGGAAACTGAGTTTTAGAGTTTTAAGTGTCCAGTGCCAACACTTAAGGGCAGAGCCTAGACTTCCCATTTCATAGCCCAGCTGGAATAATGTTAACACAATGTTAACAATGAGTACCATCTTCGTGTGATATGCAGGATAACTGGAAAGGGGGAAGAGGCTAGAGGTAGACAGCAATTCAGAGGCTGTTGCACTACCAGGGGAACAAGGTGAAAATACCCTGGATAAGGTAGTAGTAGAGAGAGGAACAACGTATAGTACTTGTAGGTGACTGGAAGTAGGGAGATAAAAAAGGAGTCAGAAATAGTCCCAAGATTTCAAACCTGGGAGGCTGAAGAATTGTAGTACATTTGCTCATCTTCAGTGGACAGGAAGAGAGAATATAGCCTGTGTCCTATTTTGCCACAAAACTAAATAAATCAGGATATTTTAAAACCATACCCAGCTCAGTTAATTCATTGCCTTTGTTGAAATTTTCAGGTAGTAATGATCAGTTGGTGCTTTGAATTTATGAAGTCTTCATCATTTTCATAATAAGTACTTTATTAAAATAAATAAACATATGAAGGATAAATATTTTGTGTTTCTTCATTGGGTGAGGGTAAGCTCTGAGAGAGTTTACTCTTATTTAGTCTTCTGTACTTTGCCCTTGAAAATTCTTACAATTTATCACAAAGTTGAGTCCTCACTGCTTTTTTCTTCATGTATGACTTGGGACTTCCCACTGTATTTAGGTATTTCTCTTGTGTCCCTTGCGTCTAACATGACATTGTGAGATGGCTGACCAGCCAGCGCCAACAATTGGAAAATGATCTTAGATGATTGAATTTTTAAAAGAACTTTTATCTTTATTATCAAAATGAGAATGATAAAACATTATGCTCTCAGTATTACATATCTAGTTATAGGTAGAGTTGATTGTCTTGACCATTGGCTTCTTAGATAAAATCAAATAACAGCAACAATTACCATAGCCAACATTTGAGTGCTTACTTTGTGTCAGGCACTTTACTTGTATTGCTTAATCCTTGTAACAACCCTATGAGATATGTATATTATTATTCTCATTTTATATATGAAGAAAAAGGCACAGAGAGGTAAAATGATTTGTTTAAAGTCACACAGCTATTAATTGGTAGAATTGAGATTTGAATCTATGCAGTCTGATCCAGAGCCTGCGCTTTTAACCACTCTCCTATTTTAAAATACTGTTAAGAGAAGAAAAAAATATTTTACAGTAAAACTAGGAATTTGGAACTTTTCTCATTTATTAGTCCAGTATATTAAACTTTGTTTTTCATTTGAGTTTTTAAAAATTTTAATGTTAAATTGAAACTTCATGTATAGAGAAGTATTGTGGTCTGAGAATGTTTAAACTACTCTTGCTAGTGTTTGGTAGTAGTTTGCCCTTAGGAATTTTGAATGTATTTTTACAGTGCTGAATTCTCAATGCTTTCTTCTCTATATGTGATTTAGGGACCTGTCTCTTTGTTTAGTTATTCCTAAAAGATATCTTGACATATTTTATTAAAGCTTATTTTCAAGTATTACTGTACAGTTCTGAAAAGATGCACATGATTATCTTTTAAGTTTTCATACTGGGTTTTTTTCCCTCTTATTTTTAAATATGTGTATCCAGTGTTCTTTTAGACTTCAGTCCTCTAAGCCCTTAATAGATATTTTTCTTCTTGAAGTTTCTTCTAAAACTTTCTTAACCTTATAAGTATAAAATGACACCAGTGACTTTGGCATTACTATTCAATTCTAAAATCTGCTGACAAGGTCAGTTGTGAGAATGAGTCTGCTATTTAGCATTTTTATTTTTGTGTGCCAGGTTGAAGACTTGAAGACACTAATCAGACACATGGAGCACTGGGCACATAGGCTATTCCCTAAACTGCAATTTGAGGATTTTATTGACAGAGTCGAATACCTAGGAAATAAAAAGGAAGTTCAGGTAGGTGTTGAGGTTATTATGAATATCATTCACAATGCTAAATAGTACAAGGATAGATTTAGTTGAAGCTGTGTAGCTGTTTCGGGTCTTCATTTTGAAATCTATCTTGGTAGAGAGAAGGAAAAGTAATAGTTATTTGAAGAACAGCTTTTTTGAAACTAAGAATTAAATAAATGACCATTTCCCCCCACATGTCATTGGTGAAAATGTAAAAATATCTCTTTATTTGCAGACCTGTTTAAAACGAATTCGACTTGATCTCCCTATTTTACATGAAGATTTTATTAGCAATAATGGTAAGAATATAGGTTTATCTACTTTATAACAATTTTACTTTTAGAAGTGGATCTAGTTGGGTTAGGCAGTATTACAGGACTGGGTTCTTAGTCTATATTGATTATATAATTAAAGTACAGTAAATAGGAATGAGTTAAAATGCTTTGGTACCTCTAGGATGTTGTTTATGATATTTGTTTCTTAAAGACATGGCTGCAATGCCGTTAAGAGATGTTGTAAAAATATATTCAGCTATAGAATATAAGCTTTTGAGAACTCTGATGGTAAACCCGTTGATTCTTTGTAGTGTTTGTTAGTAAAAATATGTGACAAGATACAGTATTCATAACATGTACACCATTAAAAAATGGCTCTGGGAAATTAGGCAAAATAATTTGATGATGAAATAGTTTACATTTCACTTCAGAGTGTAGATCTTAAATGTAGGACTTTAGTAAGATCTGTGTGACTGTTCCTGGTATTGATTGCATTTGTTAGTTATACAGTGCAACCATAGGCAGTCACGCACATCAAAACATATGGTTCCTGCCGACAGGGTCTGTATAGTTATCAGATTTTCTGTGCGATGGCTCCATACATATTTGTTTTTGTTTTTTAAACTTTTAATAGATGTGGTAGAAAATACAGGCTGTATATGGAATCCCCCAAAGTTATTTATAAATTGCTTTTAAAAGTGTGAAGGATTGTGATTTAAATAATCCAAGATTTAATTTTTTGGTAAGATGGTACGTTCCGATGGCATGGGGTTTGGTATATGGAAAGGAATTAATTCTTACAGTATTAAATCTCACAGCATAACCACTGGCGTAGTTTATTCAGCAGCACTTTTTTTTTTTTAATAATTTTGTTTATTTATTTATTTTTCCCCCCAAAGCCCCAGTAGATAGTTGTATGTCATAGCTGCACTTCCTTCTAGTTGCTGTATGTGGGACGCAGCCTCAGCATGGCTGGAGAAGCAGTGCATCCGTGCGCTCCCGGGATCCGAACCCCGGGCCGCCAGCAGCGGAGCGCGCGCACTTTAACCGCTAAGCCACGGGGCCGGCCCTACTTTTTTTTTTTTATTGCGGTAACATTGGTTTATAACATTGTATAAATTTCAGGTGTACATTATTATACTTCTATTTCTGCTTAGATTACATTGTGTTCACCACCCAAATACTAATTACAACCCATCACCACACACATGTGCCTAATCATTCCTTTCACCCTCCTCCCTCCCCACTTCCCCTCTGGTAACCACCAATCCAATCTCTGTCTCTATGTCTTTGTTTGTTTTTATCTTCTACTTATGAGTGCGATCGTATGGTATTTGACTTTCTCCCTCTGACTTATTTTGCTTAGCATAATACCCTCAGTGTCTATCCATGTTGTCACAAAAGGCTGGATTTCATCGTTTCTTATGGCTGAGTAGTATTCCATTGTGTATATATACCACATCTTCTTTATCCATTCGTCCCTTGATGGGCACTTAGGTTGCTTCCACGTCTTGGCTATTGTGAATAACACTGCAATGAACACAGGGGTGCATGTATCTTTATGCATTTGTGTTTTCATGTTCTTGGGATAAATACCCAGCAGTGGAATAGCTGGATCATATGGTAGTTCTATCCTTAATTTTTTGAGGAATCTCCATCCTATTTTCCATAGTGGCTGCACCAGCTTACACTCCCACCAGCAGTGTATGCGAGTTCCCTTCTCTCCACATCCTCTCCAACACTTGTTGTTTCCTATGTTGTTAATTCTAGCTGTTCAGACGGGCGTGAGGTAATATCTCATTGTAGTTTTGATTCAGCAGCACTTATGAGCTGTGTACCATGTGCTAAAACTTCAGGGATAAAGATGAATAAGATAAGCCCCTTGCTTCAGGGGCCAACAGACCAGTGAGTGGGTCACACATATAACATCGCCAGTACTCTGATAGGTGCTATAATTAGGGATATAAACAGGGCCTGGGCTAGGGTGCCAAGGAGGGCATAGTTACTTTTACCTAGGGGAAGTAAAAGCTTCACAGAGGAGGTATCACAAGTACTTTGAATGATAAGCAGTAGAGGTGAGGCAGAGGTGATTTTGGATAGAGGGAGCCACTTATGCAGAGAGGCATAAATGAACACGGGACCATTCATGGAATTACAGGCATGCTTATATATAGGGTACATAGAGGAGGCCTATATCAGAGAACCTTGTTTGTTGAATCTGTTTTCTTTGTATCCTAGAAGAATAATCTCCAAACCTTTTGAATCAGGCACCACAACAGTAAAAATGTTTTGAGCATTTTATTTATTTATTTTTCTAATACATGTACTACTCTATTGATAAGATGATATATAATGTACATTTTTGTTCTCACCAAAACATCACTATACAGTCTTAAACTGAGAACAGTATGAATATTCTACTGAATAATTTTTTTGTCAAAAATCTTGGGCTAATACATCTTGATCAGTGACTTGAAGGTATGTGTGTAGATTCAGTTTTTTCCCCCCCAAATCTTAGTTTTACCTAAGATACATAAATCCAAATAGAAGTAGAGCATCATTAACTGCACTTAATAAATCTTGGTATTCATTTTTCAATCCCATTCACTAATGCAAGAATTTTTGTTGAAGTTCACTAGCAAATTGTCATCTACCCTTTTTCAGTCATTTTTCTTAAAAATTAACCAGGGTTATATTTTTATATATTTTTTTTTCTTTTTTTTAGTTTTTTTTTTTCTTTTTTGTTTATTGTGGTAACTTTGGTTTATATATTTTTATATTTTTAAAAAATGTAGTCGTATTACTCCTCAGCTCAAAGCCCTGTAGTGGCTCCTTATTTCACTCGAAGTAAAAGCCAAAATCCTTATAATGTCCTACTTGGCCCTACAGAATCTATTCCTGTGTCCTCACCCCAGCCCCCTTACCTCTCTGATTTTACCTTTTTCTATTCCTCACTCACACTGCTTCAGCCACACTTGCCTCCTAGCTGTTCCTTGAACCTTGCAGGCACATTTCTGTCTTAAGGTTTTTGCAGTCTTGTACTCTGCCTTCAACACTGTGCTCCGTCCTCCCTCCTGCCTCCAGATCTGCATGGCTAACTCTGCCTCTTCAAACTGTGCTTAAACGTCAACTCAATGAAGTCTGCCCGACCACACAGTTAAAATTGTATCCCTCCTCTTGTTCCTGATTCCTCTAGGTTTTTTTTTTTCATAGCACTTATTTCCCTTTAATTATTATATAGTTTGCTTATCTCTTAGTTTATGTATCCCAAAATGATGGCATCCTGTAGAATTGAATATGTCTGGCTTTAGCTTCTTTACCACAGTAGCTTGCCTGTGAGTGTTGCAGTGAATTAATTTCAAGCGTGGTTCTAATTTTTTTAATCCCATTTTTATCCTAGTAAATGCTCCATCTGTGATTATGTTTACATTGTTTTTCCATAAAACATTGTTTATATTAAAGAGGTCATTTACTATTAAAGATATCTTTCCCTTTCATGGCTCACAAAAAAAGTAGTTCTTTATTTCATTATTATTAATTCAGAGTCCTGTAAGCTCTGTAGGGTGAAGCATATTAGAAATATATATAAAAATATATACCCTATATATTGCATAATTGGTTCTAATACTTGTTTCTTAACTTCTCCAGCAATGTTCTCTACATGTACTCCATCAATATTTCTTGACAAAGGAATGCATTTTAGTTCCTTGCCATTTTTTTCCACATCTGGAAGGAAAAGTGTATGGCTTTTTGTCTTTCGCTATTAGGGAAGAAACCTAAATGGGGTTTGGATTGTAAAAGGCTGGAAAAAATACCATATGATTTTTAAACCTCACTGGAATAATTGTAGAGGTTTGTTTTTATGTTTTAAATGTTTTGCTAGTTGTGATGGTTTTTACTGTCGTTAGCTAATACCTCAAGGCACAGTATATACATCGGACAAGGATAATATATGTAAATTTATATTTCAAATGGTCGGCTTAGTGATACGAATTTTTTTTTTTTGGCCTACTTGTCAGATCTGATGAGGTTACCTTTTTTTTTAACCCCATAATGTGAATGATGTAGAGAGAAGGTGAAATGTCAGCTTTGCCATTTTCTTAGTTCTTGCTTGTGCTTCTATTATCTTCTACCAACAGATGTTTTAGTAATTTGCAAAAATCTTCTTAAGCTACCACTTGTGTATTTTGTTGGGATTGTTTTGGTTAAAACTAGATAGTCTGTCAGTCTGCTTAACTGAGCAGTTAGACTCAGCGGTATGTCACAATATGCTGGAATTGAAAAATGAGTGAGGGCCCAACTCTCCCACCCTCCTGCAGTGTGGAGCTGCCTTTAAGGTAACTTACAGACGAGACAATAACTGTCATATGGATAAGTGATAGTTCGTCACTGCCAGCCATTATTTTTAAAAAAGTAAAACTTAATTTTTCTTAATTCTTAAATGAAATATAAGTGGAAGATCTAATATTTACTTTCCATACCACTGTGGATCATTTTAGGGGTATTGTACTTTGAGGTAACTGGTGTACAGGGCTTTAAGAATTTATTAAGACTAATAATGTAGAGACCACTGAATTTTTTTTTGTGTGTGTGTGAGGAAGATCGGCCCTGAGCTAACATCCATGCCAGTCCTCCTCATTTTGCTGAGGAAGACCGGCTCTGAGCTAACATCTATTGCCAATCCTCCTCCTTTTTTTCCCTTTTTCTCCCCAAAGCCCCAGTAGATAGTTGTATGTCATAGCTGCACACCCTTCTAGTTGCTGTATGTGGTACGCCGCCTCAGCATGGCCGGACAAGTGGTGTGTCGGTGCACGCCCAGGATCCGAATCCAGGCTGCCAGTAGCGGAGCGTGCGCACTTAACCGCTAGGCCACGGGGTGGCCCCGAGACCACTGAATTTTTTAAAAATTAACTTGGAAATATGTCCACAGATCTAATTTCTTTTCCTTTTTCACTTTGTGTCTGGGTTTTACCCTATTAAAAAAAACAACCTATATAAAATTATTACTGTGTATCATATAGACACTGTGGCAAGCTATTAAAATGCTTTTATTTAATGTAAAACAAGAATGTGCGTTGGATTCTTTAAGTTCTTTTATTAGTCCATGCATAAAATATTACTAATCGTAACTCAGAACTTGTGCTGTCCGTTCATGCATATTTTTAAACTAGTATTTCCATTTGACTTAAAATGCCTCTTTAAAGTGATTTATAAATATTCCTTTTACTTATTTGAATCAAGCATGTATTTGTAATGTTCTCATAGAGCCTCACAAAATGTTTTTTCGGGTCTGGCACCATATCACTTTAAACTGGTTTTCAGGGCTGGCCCTGTGGCTTAGCGGTTGGGTGTGCGCACTCCGCTGCTGGCGGCCCGGGTTCAATCCCGGGCGCGCACTGATGCACCGCTTCTCCAGCCATGCTGAGGCTGCGTCCCACATACAGCAACTAGAAGGATGTGCAGCTATGACATACAACTATCTACTGGGGCTTTGGGGGAAATAAATAAATAAATAAAATTATAAAAAAAAAACAACTGGTTTTCAATTGATAGCTGCATAAACTCTTTTTCTGGCTGGTTTAACACTACAGATGCACTAACTTTTTCTTTTCTACTACAGATGAAGTAACAGAAAATAGTGGCCATGATGTAACTGCTACTGAATTAGATTCCTTTTTAACAAACTCATCTGAAAGTGAGAAGTTTGCTTCTGAGTCAAGTAGAAGCCTAACAGAAGAGCAACAACAAAGAATTGAGAGAAATAAACAACTGGCCTTGGAAAGAAGGCAGGCAAAGCTACTGAGTAACAGTCAGTCCCTAGGAAATGGTAAATTTTATGCTGGCTTTTATTTGCTACCATTAATATATCAAGGGCATGTTAGAAATTTTAACTTCTGTACTATCCCCCAAAATAAAATAACTCTAGGAATAGAAAAAAATGTGATGTAGTATATAAAGTTTATGTATATTGGGGGGAGGGAGGGTTAAATAAGTCCAAGGTGGTTTTCTGGATAGCCGAATACCTCTTAGAAAATTATTTTAATCATTTAAAATTGATTCTGACTCTTTCAAAAACATATTCTTCCCTCACTCCTTAAAGCATGTGACACATAATTTTACCTTTAGGATCATAATTATGAACATTAATTATTGTACTTTCCTAAACATATAAAATGCCTTCTGCACTCATTGAGGATATTAGAACCATTTGCTGACATGAATAGGTCCTAAAATGCTTTTTATTGCATTGTGTCTCTTCTGTTGTGAGCTGTCAGTTTGCTTATGTGTTGCATTCCCTTCCCTCTTTAAAACTGCCTTAAAATTTGCTGTATTTAAAACAGACTATGGATTTGGAAACTAGACACCCAAAACTATATTTTAAAATAATTTTGTTAAAAAACTATATTTGGGGGCTGGCCTGGTGGCGCAAGTGGTTAAGTGTGCGTGCTCTGCTGCGGCGGCCCGGGGTTCACCGGTTCGGATTCCGGGTGCGCACCGACGCACCGCTTGTCAGGCCATGCTGTGGTGGCGTCCCATATGAAGTAGAGGAGGATGGGCATGGATGTTAGCCCAGGGCCAGTCTTCCTCAGCAAAAAAAAAAAAAGAGGAGGATTGGCAGATGTTAGCTCAGGGCTGATCTTCCTCAAAAAAAAAAAAACTATATTTGAAAATATATGGGTTTTGAATGAAGCAGGATTGCATGTCTTTCTCAATCCAAGTTTTCCTTTTGAAATGAGAAAATAAGAATTATAGTAAGGCGTGAAGAAACCGTGTTATAAAATAAGTTTCATCCACGATAATATTCTCAAGTGAAAATTATTCAGTGTGACTACATTATCTTGATTTTTTCCAATTAAAATGAAATTAATTTTTAATTTTACAAATGGATGTTTTATTACTACCATGTTAAAAATTACATGAAGATATAACTATTGTTGATAGCAGTATCTTCCTTGCTGTCATTATCAAAGTATACCTGGCAATAAGCATTTTAAGGCTCATCTTCTATTTATCATATACAACTTTAAAATTTGCCCAAATAGAAATAAGTATCTTAAATTTCTTTACTATAGATCACTTTGACATATAGCTGTTAAAAGCATTTGATTTTTAAAAATTTTCGTCTTGCCGTTTTGATTTTGAATGAGAACAGTTGCATTTGGCTGTGATTCAAGAGTTTGAGTTCAGTACCTTTCAAGATTCTGGCATTTTTTTACGGATTTTATACATGTTATAAAAATGGCTTTATTTGGAAGAAAGTGACCATAATTAATATTAACTAAAGTGACCATAGATTTCATTTCCACTGATGTAAGCTTGTGAAGAGATTTGTATTTATCAGGTAAGATTGGATCATGTGCTTATAATGAGTAATAATGATGATTTCTCTTTCAGACTTATTAATGAACACACCCAGGGCACAGACAGATGAAGAGGTTAATACAGGTGAGGCTCAAGAGGAGGAGGAGTCAAATGGATTTAACAAAGACATTCTAGACAATCCACTTAATGATGCTGCTGCCAATACTGTAAATGAAGAGGAGGAATTAAAAATAGAGAGAACGCAACTGGACCAAACTTTTTAAAGTGCACGATAGTAACTTTATGCTTCATCCAAAAATGTTACTGAGGTTGGATAGGCCTCAACTAAGAGAAAATCTATTAACTTGCTATCTTCCAAGTTTGAGATTACTCTGTATTTTGTTTGGCCAGAGTGAAAATCCTTAATTAGTAAAACTTGTACAAATGCCTTTTTAAAATCTGCTATTTAGGGGCTGCCTGGTGGCGTAGCGGTTAAGTTCATGTGCTCCGCTTCAGTGGCCTGAGGTTCGTGGGTTGGGATTCTGGCGCAGACGAATGCGCTGCTTGTCAAGCCATGCTGTGGTGGCGTCCCATACAAAGTAGAGGAGGATGGGCACAGATGTCAGCCCAGGGCCAATCTTCCTCACACACACACAAAAAATCTGGTATTTATAATTATACTTGTTTCTTATTAACTTTAGTTAAGTCTATTTATTCTCTTTTGTGTTTATTTTTGTATAGATAGGACTTCATAAAAATGATTGTTAATAAACAGTTTCTGCTGCTAGTGTGCCAGTGAATGCCTTGTTTTCACTAAATTGGGTGGTGTTTTAAGATGTAAATATATAATGAATATTAATGTCCATTTTTAAAAAAGAAATAAAAATCTTACAGACTATCTCTGGAGGCTTTATGAGTTTCTCATTGCTGTTTAGTTCTGCAATTTTCACTTTTGGTAAAACATTTAAAGTTTTTATATGTGTTTACATATATTTTGAGGAGTCACTTTAATACTTAAAGGGTCACATGAAAGGTGGCTATATTGCCTGGCCTAGGTGCTAGGGACATTCAGATGCTTCTTGGTACCTTACTAATTGGAGAGAAACTTGCAAAGTATCATGGGGAACATAAGAGCACCTAAGGTGGATTCACAGGAGACCTTTGAGTTGGTGGAGGAGATTCCAAGGATTGGGAAAAACATGTACAATAATGATATAGAAATGAAAATCTAGGAAATAAGAAAGATATTGTGACTATGAGACTAGAAGTGTTTAGGCCAGATAGTGAGAAGACCTGATTGGAGTGTTTTCCTGCCTGAGTTTATTAACTTGGTGGAGGAGGTAACACAGATAAAGTACCGTGTTGACAACCAAGTTTAAAGAAGGTCTAGTTCTTGGCAGGAGATAGCTTTGCCTTTCCCTCTCCCCCATGGGAATCTAATTTTTACAAATTAGGGGTTGGGAACTTTGCTTTTTGTGAGAAAGACTGGCCGAGTGATGGTGCTAGAGTGGCTTCTATCCATGGAGCTGGGACAGGCAGGCATCTTGTTCTCTTCAGGCATGCCGACTTCAGGTGGGAATGGAGAATGATGAGGATGGTTTGGTTGAAATGCCAGGAAGTTGAGCACAAGAACATATGGGGGGGGGGTTGGGGTTGGTGTGTGTCCTATAGGCTTGCTGGGGACTGGCATAGTGAAGGGCCAAGAGGCATAAACCTCAGAGGACTGTGGTGTATTGCTGCCAATAGGGGATCAGCTAGAAGATAGACCCCAGTCTCTTAAGATACCACCAATGCCTAGAAAAACTGCTCCCTCAGAAGGGCCTGTTCTGGCCTCTATCCACCCTCCAACTGGATTAGAGGAGATGACTAAAACTGTGATTTTTTTCCAGTGGTGGGATTTGCTGGCAAAGTAACAAGTCAACAAGGGCAAGGCCAATGCAACTCTTCATCCGAAGAGTACTCAGCAAAATGAGTGGGTGGAAAGAAAGGTTTGAGAGAAAAGACCTTAGCTGTGCACCCCACCCCACTCCCTATGCCCTGTCCCCAACTGGTGCTGGGGACAGCAGGGAAGGTTTGAGTAAATATCAAATAGGAGTTTTAAAATAGAGAGATGGACAGGACTAAGTCTTATCTGAAAGAGACTGAAAAGTTAATCTGACAGATGTCAGAGGGGCCTATGACCCTAATGGCCCAGTGTAGCAATTACTGGAAACATTAAAACTTTTAAAGAGTGGGTTTGAGACAAGTTAACTGAAAATCAGTTCTAGGTTTATTAAAACGAGACTGGCAACTTGACTTCCAGAGCCGCCATTCACTATTCATTTCTGAAAAATCAGTTACTATAGTAACCTAATTGCACGTTATTTAATGCAACTTTGATTAATGATGAGAAAACATTTTACACATCTGTGGGAAATAGCTACCCAATCCCCATCGACTAGAACACTGGGTGACACAGAAAATTAGATGTTAATGTTGAAAAGAAGGTAAAACGTTCACATAAGACAAAGCTCTTTTAATGAAGAAGAGTATTTCATATTTCATAACTGTTTGAAACATCCAAGAGAGCCAGGTCCCTTATCTCCTCTAGGAGTATGTACAGGCTTCTTCCCTTTGTTTGGCAGTATTTTTGATAATCTTCCTGAATGATGTTTACTTTGACTTCTTGGGCGAGCTGAGCTTCCTCCACAGATCTAGTTACTTCTTTCACTAAATCACTCTTTAGCAAGAGGGAACTCTGATGAACAAGTTCTGTATCTGGTATCATGTATGGTTTGTTGCTTATTATTTCAAGGCTGATTGTATCAGAATGGCAACGTGAGGCCTGTACAGATATTCTCACCTGTCATAGAGGACAAAATGCACATTACTAAGTCACACTTTATTCTTTACATTGAAACCAATACTTAATGTAAATACAGACTTACTGTTACATGGTCAAACAAATGGAACGTAACAGAGTCCCCTTCTGTTGTGGTAGAGGTGATTTTGTTTTGAAATCTTTGAAGGGATCCTGATTTCCATTCAGAACGGCTATCTGGGCCACATGAGATCACCAAACCATCTTTATTTTTTAGATAAGCAGCACCTTTAATGCCAAACCTAAATCATTGCCAGAATAAAAATGCAGAGAAAATGTATTCTTAGTATGCAGACAGATCTTGTATACTTATCTAGAATGCTAGTTTTTCTTCTGGATTAAAAACTTTTCTTGTCATTTACCTTCAGATATTCATTTCATTGAGCAGATGGAAACAAATATTTTGCTAAATAAGACAGTAAAATCTTATCCTAAGACTGATACAGATGTGCTAGACTCTAATCTCCTTTTATGCTTATATAGTGAATTATATGTTACATTATGTACATGTGGTAACTACAAATTGTTGCTAAAATAAATATTTTAATAAATTATATCTAATGTACTGTTTGTATTCTACACTTTTAGTTTAACTATGATTTCTTAACAACTATTGTGACACACATAACATACCTTGGTATAAATACAAGCACACCATTTGTTCTAATTGAATAAATGACCCCATCAGATATGCAACGCTCCTCAGTTTCTGGGTCTTTGTCTTTAAAATACATGCATTGGAACAGCTCAGTAGACTGCTTCTGAGCATGCTGTGCTGCCTGTCAAAAGAAGCACAACCCCAAAGCATGATGACCCCAGAAAAAACATGGAATTCATATTCCCATAGAAACAATGTCTTTAAAAAGGCTTGATTCTAGAAAACTATTAATTCAAATATTCTTCTCTATTATGAATTAAATCAATTGTGGGAACTTAACCATCCAGTATCATTCCCTCAAAAATGTCTTAGAAAATTAGAAAACAACCTCTTTGTTATTTAGAACCTGTTTATAGTTCATTCAGGTAGAGGAAAAGTATCTGTATCTATGTCTTACCTTTATTTTCAAGTCTGTCCCACCAAAATCCTGTTGGTGGAAGTGTAAATTAGTACTACTATGCTGTGGGGCAATTTAGTAATATGCATCAAAGTTTTATTTGTGCACACCTTTTGATTCAGCAATTCATTATTACCAGGAATTTATCCAGGCAATAATCTGAGAAGTCTGTAAAAGTGTATACACAAGGATGGTTGTAAACTGGATTGCCTAGGACAGTGCTACCCAACAGAACTTTCTGTAATGATGGAAATGTTCTATATCTGTGTGGCCCCATGGGTACCACCTAGCCACACATGTCTACTGAGCATGTGAAATGTGGCTAGTGTGCCTGAGGAACTGAATTTTTAATATTTTAAAATTTTAATTCAAATAGGCAACATAGCTAGTGGTTATATTGCATAGCACAGAACTAGAACATTGGATAGAAAATTATATTAAACATTTAGGTAGGTTCTAATTTTCTGCATCATCAAATGGTCTAGTTCTATGCTGTGTAGTACTGTAGTCACTAGTAACAGTATGAAATAGAATGCAGGGTGGCGTCTAAAAAAATGATGTAACTATATTGACAGGGGGTGCTATCAATAACAGATGTGTTAAGTGAAAAAGGGCAGATTTCAAACAGCAGGTATGGTGTAATATTTTAATAAATAAAAAGCACTGTCTAGTATTGTTAATAATGGTTATCTCTGGGTGATGAGATGATAGATGATCTTTTACCTTTCTACATTTTGAGAAAAACATCTATTTTTTTTTTATAATTTTATTTATTTATTTACTTTCCCCCCCAAAGCCCCAGTAGATAGTTGTATGTCATAGCTGCACATCCTTCTAGTTGCTGTACGTGGGACGCGGCCTCAGCATGGCCGGAGAAGCGGTGCGTCGGTGCGCTCCCGGGGATCTGAACCCAGGCCGCCAGCAGCGGAGTGCGTGCACTTAACCCCTAAGCAACGGGGCCGGCCCCACATCTAACCTATTGTTAAATCTCCCAAATCCACATTAAGTTACTTCAGAACATTTATAAATGTATTGAAAATTATTCAACAAACTATAATTGTTCATGTTATTGCATTGGTTAGAATAATTCTAGAATTTAATTCACCAGAATATATTGTACTTCATTCTACTACACAAATTAAGCTGATATTCTCTTAGCAAAAGAGATGATGGGTCAGAGAATTTACAGTCCCTTCTTACTCGGTTTCTGTTGTTGATATGTCTGCATAATTCCTCAAGATCTTTGTTGCTGAACAAATTCTCCTTAATTTCCATTTTCTTATCTTTTGAAATGGCTGCCATTAACAATCGGTGTACTATAATATCTGAATATCTTCTTATTGGAGAAGTAAAGTGAGTATATTTATCTAATGCAAGACCTTCAAAAAGAAAACAAAAGATTGAAATAAAAAAAATACACTTTTAATTTAAACAACTTGCTCAAGGTTATGGCTACGCAAAGGAAAACTTTAATATTTACCATAATGATGGAACTCTTCCTCTGCACACGATCCAGTGGAGAAATATAGTGCATTAGACATGGCCTGCATAGCCATATATCGCAGCAACCTGTTTACAATGGGATCGTTGGGGTCATTCGCGTTATCCAGAGAATCAGCCAGTGTTTTATTGGACCTGACCAAAAAAATGGAAGAACTTTTATTTAGTCCCAGCAATAAATTATAAGTCAACATTCTGAGGGAGAACACCCTTCACTCATCAGTCTGAATACTTTCATCTGCCTGTAGTTAAAGTTATTTTGGACACATTTCAGAAACAACTCTTTTCAACAATAGAAATCTAGTTTGCTTTTAAGGTTTAAACAAAGAAAGTGTGTGAGAATTTAAGTACGTTTCTTAAATAGCAAAGAGTAATGTGCTGATACCTACACGATTAAATTAGTGCTCGGCACACAGTAGGTGGTCAAATACTTGAATTGAACTCCCAACACCTTTAACCTTAAAATTTCTGTACAGGTCAAAGAATGGAGTTTTTCTTTGTTTAAATTAAGAATTATTGAACCAGAGGGAGTTGAAAAACAGAACTGAACTAACCCTGAGGTACACAAAGTAAAAGAAACCTAAATAGTTTTTCTTTTTCTTTTTTGGTGAGGAAGATTGGCCCTGAGCTAACATCTGTTGCCAATCTTCCTCTTTTTGCTTGAGGAAGATTAGCCCTGAGCTAATATCTGTGCCCATCTTTCTCTATTTTGTATGTGGGTCTCAGCCACAACATGGCTTGATGAGTGGTGTGGGTCTGTGCCTGGGATCCAAACCTGTGAACCTGGGCCGCTGAAGTGCTAAGCATGCCACACTTAACCACTATGCCATGGGGCTGGCCCCGATTTTTCTTTTTTTAAGGAGGAAGAGAGAGATAGGAAACACTCTATTTACTCTCAAATAATTTTTAAAAACCCAGGAAATAAAGAATTATATTAAAAATTAAACTAATAATACAGCATATAATTCAGTTCTCTATTGCAGCCCGCTAAGAGAAAAGGGGGAAAGGGAAGATGGAGAACGATGAGCAGAGAAGCATCGTGAGAGTGGGCACCGATGGGAGCTTTCCAGCTGGACAGACTCGGCTGCAGATTCTGCCTCTGCCCTGACTAGCTGTTAAATCACAGGCAAGTTACTTAATTTCTCCAGACTTCATTTCTCTCTCTGTAAAATACGAATGATAAAGATGATGTCTGAAAGCCCTGAGCACATGTGCCTGGCACACACACACACGCAGCTCAACCACCAAACAAACCAACAAAAGATACTATCATCTAAAGATAGAGGCAGGGGCCGGCCCCGTGGCGTAGCGGTTAAGTGCGTGCGCTTGGCTGCTGGCGGCCTGGGTCCGGATCCCGGGAGTGAACTGAGGTACTGCTTGTCACGCCATGCTGTGGCGGCATCCCATATAAAGTAAAGGAAGATGGGCATGGGTGTTAGACCAGGGCCAGTCTTCCTCAGCAAAAAGAGGAGGATCAGCATGGATATTAGCTCAGAGCTGATCTTTCCAAAAAATAAATAAACAAATAAATACCTTAAAAAAAATAAAAAAATAGAGGCAAAAGAAATCCATTTTGATAAATAAAAGATATTTTCATCAGCACTTGTTACTTGACAACAAAATATTTAAAAAATCCTCTTAATACATCATTTTTGACAAGGAAAATATTTTATCCTGATGGTGCGGATTAAAAACGTCTCATTCTGTGGAGGCGTGGTATAAATTTACCATTGGTGTGGGATCTTATGGTATTGCCAGAAATATGTTGCATTTTTAAAATACTGAAATAAATAGGATTACATCTTTCTATTTGCCTAATTGGTAGATGAAATTAAACCAAGGATAACAGGTTCCTTACTTCTATATTACAAATTGTAGTATGTCAAAATTATGCCTAAATAAACCTGTGTTAATTTAAGACTCTATACCTACATTATAGTAAAAGAAGAGAGCCACGAAGTTTTCTGTTTTTGGTCAAAGATCTGGCTGTCACATTTTAAGAACTATTTTAAGATAAAGAAGTCCCCAGCACTCCCTTCCATTCCTCTGCCCCCACGAAAGAGGAATTACCGTGTATCTATGATGAAGCCTTTTGCTTTAGCACATTCTCTGAGTTCAGAAAAAAACTCCTGGTGTGGAGGAGGGTGCTGGCGCAACAGGGCTTGATGAGGGAAGCTCTCCCAGATCTCCTTGGCTACCCAGTGGTTGGCCAGGATCATGCATTCAGCCACCGTCTCATGGACTTCCAGGGGCTGCTTGGGGATGAGGTCATGAATGTTCTTTTTGTCGTCTAGCTGTACGCGAACCTCTACCCCTTCCAGTTCCAGGGCACCACAACCATCTCGTTTAGCTCGGACATGGCGTGCTATATCAGTCAACTTGCCAATTGCCCACACCAACTCCTCGAGCTTGGCTTGTCTGCTCTTCTCGTCCAAGTCTCTGAGTTCTGGAATATCATCAACAATGTTGACGTTTCCATTCAGTAGTTCCTGGGCTGCTTCATAAAACAGTTTGTATGCTGATCGAATAATGGTTCTGCCATACCACACTTTCTTAATTTCATAGGAGGTTTTATCCAATTCCCACATGACGCTTACAGCATACCTACAAAACCAGTAACACTGACATCATTATTTAATTCTTCCATTTTTGAAGCAAGCAGAACTAGACCCTAAATGTATCTTGAAGGAAATGACATTGCTACCGGTTTCTCAATGTCTCAATCCAAACACTCCACCACTAAATCAAAAAGTATTTCAGGGGCCGGCCCAGTGGTGTAGTGGTTAAGTGTGTCCTCTCCGTTGCAGCGGCCCGGGGTTCAGATCCCGGGCACACACCAACGCACCTCTTGTCAAGCCATGCTGTGGCGGCGTCCCATATCAAGTGGAGGAAGATGGGCATGGATGTTAGCCCAGGGCCAGTCTTCCTCAGCAAAAAGAGGAGGATTGGCGATAAATGTTAGCTTAGGGCTAATCTTCCTCAAAAAAAAAAAAAAAAGTATTTCAAATTAAAACAACAAAGTTCAACTAGGTTCTGTTGAGCTCTGAGCAAATCTGCAATGAGTTCACATGTAATGTTACAAACCCTACCTTATAGTTCTCCATTTTCACTAGAAGAGCAGAGCATTGATAGAGCCAAGTCTGTTCGGCTCTCTAGTAAAGAAAAGCCTTTCAATCCTATAGGGTGACACTGAACTATGATATCAGTCTTGATGATAGGTTAATTAGCAAAAAGTTGATTTTTGTAAAGGATCACTTTGCCACCAAATCATTCTATTTAAAAACATATACAGGAGCTGGCCCGGTGGCGCAAGCAGTTAAGCGCACGCTCCGCTGCGGTGGCCCGGGGTTCGCTGGTTCGGATCCTGGGCGCGCACCGCTTGGCAAGCCATGCTGTGGCAGCGTCTCATATAAAGTGGAGGAAGATGGGCACTGAGGTTAGCCCAGGGCCAGTCTTCCTCAGCAAAAAAAGAGGAGGATTGGCAGACGTTAGCACAGGGCTGATCCTCACAGAAAAAAAAACAACAAAAACAAAAAACATATACAACTCATATAAAAAATGGCTAATTTTCCTAATATATAAAGAGCTCTTATAAATCAATTACTAATAGATCAATAACTCAAAAGAAAAATGGGCAAGGAACATGAAATTCTTCACAGAAAAGGCTACATAAATGACGGTGAAACACACAAAAAAATGTTTAACTTTATTCGTAGTAGGAAAATTACAAATTAAAACCACTAAGATACCATTGTCATGTATCAAATTAGCAAAGATAAAAAAATATAGCATATTGTGCTGGCAAAGCTGTGGGGAAACAAACATTCTCATACATTGTTGGTGGGAATATAATTGGTGTAACCTCTATGGAGGGCAATTTGATTATATCTATCTAATCACAAATGCATATACCCTTTGACACAGAAATTCCGCTTCTAGGAATTTATCCTCCAGATATACTGTACTTTTAAAAATGTGAAACAACTTATGTTCCAAGTACAGTTTTGTTTGTAATAGCAAAGATCGGAAACAATCCAAATTTCCATAGATAAGCAACTGTTATTAATATGGAATAGTCTCCAAGACACATGGTTAAGTTAAAAAAAAAAAAAAGGTGCTGAACAGTATATCTATATCTGTATCTATCTATCTATATATATATATATAATGTCACTATTTGTATAAAAAAGAAAGACCACATGTCCATATTTGTATGTATTATATCTAAAAAAAAATGTAGGAAATTGGTAACTGAGGGAAAGTAGCAGGAGAGAGCCTTTTACTAAATATCTTTTGGAACCTATGAATTTTGGACTAGATGGTTTTATTACCTATTCAAAGATAGATATAAATTTTAACTAAAACAAACAAAAAACGCCCTAAGTTCATGATCCTCAGGCAAAACACCCTCAACCCGGGAATACATGTGCACAAAATTGTAAACATTTGGTCCCAGACTTTAGCTGACTTCAAAAAGCCAACACAGAGAGAGAAGCAGCCTCATAGCTAGACAGAGAGAAAAGAGGAAAGGAAGGGAAGACTAGAGAAATAAAGCTGCCTAAAAACAGGTGGTGCAGGGGGTGTAGAGGATGCAGAGGGAAGCAGGGGTGGGGAGGGGTGCTAGAGCATATTAGAAAGAAAAGGAGGAAAAGGCCAGAAGCAAGAGCGCCAGGCACCACAGAAGGGCTACAACAAGCTCCGAAGATGAAAATAATGAACAAACTCACCTGTCAACGCCTCCCAGGAGGGAGCACAGATCAGCGCTGAGGATGGAGGGCAGCATGTCATAGCGACGGTCTGCTAAATAGTAAGTGGTGGCCCTGTGAATGACACATACGTGAGTGCGTGACCTTCAGCAGCAAGAAGCAGAACTGCTGACTGCATGGGCTGCAGTGAGGTAAACGGCCAAAACCTCAGCACAAATTCCCCAAGGCTGTTGCCTTTTCATAAAGTGCAGCAGACTGGGTAATAAAGCTATTCCCATGTCCCCACTTTTCAAAGGGATACAGCTTTGGGCTGAATATTCTTCCACTGATACAAAAAAGAAAGATAAAGTGACATGAATCTTAGTTGTTTAAAAAAAAAGAGTGTAATGATCCAGTATTTATATAAAACACTATATTACTACATGAAAAATTTAATCCATTTCAATTTAGAAGGAAACAATGTGTGGAAATGTTCTGTTATAAAAGGAAAGGTAAAGTGATCAAGGTACTATTTTTCTAAAGGAAAAGGGGAAGTGGACCTCAACTTTTTTTTTTCTGGGAGCTTCAGAATTGCACAAACATGAAATCTTTGTTTTGAAGTCTGAAACTAGCATAGTTACAAAATATGTTACAGTCACATATACATAATTATAGAGCTGATTTCAAACAGCATTACCTTGTTCTAGCTTCAATATCAATGTAAGAATTTGGTGCCACAAAGTGTGTTACATCTGCGATGTGGACCCCAAGTTCCAGGTTGCCATTATTTAAGGTTCTGACTGAGAGTGTGTCATCCACATCTTCACAACCCTTGGGGTCAATGCTGAATACAAGATGGGTTTTCCTCAAGTCTCTACGCTCTCGTTCCTCTTCAGGATTCACCTTCCAGGGATTTTCGGGTGTGTTTACTGGCATCTCACACATCTGTACAATGAGAGGCCAAATGTTCAGCAATTCACGTGCCACAAGTTTCCTATAAAAATCTATTCTCAATGTGACCTCACAGAAATCCCATTCGTTCCTCATTACCTTCTGCAATTAACCTATGTTTGCTTCTTTTGATCAATAATTATTTATTAGGTACCTAATATGTGTAAGGAACTGTGCTAGGCTCTGGAAAGTCAGGAGTCAATAGGAAAGACACAGTCCCCGGCCCTCGAGGCCCCTTACAGCCTGGCAAGAAATGTTCCACAACTTTCGCCAGCCCCTTAGTTGTGGGGGGTGGAGCAAGAACGAATGAGTGACTTTTAAAAAGTCTAACTTCTACTCTATTTTCGAATGATGCATTTGGTTAAACATAGTTAAGCTTTTAATTCAAGTCAAGCCCTGAAAAAAAATCAACATGTCCCAAATATTAAAAATTTATTCCTTAAAGATAATTTTAGCAGGACCAATCTAGGGCATTTTGTCTCCATTATTACCTGTTTAAGCCATCAATTTGCAGTTAAGTAGGCTAAAAGAGAAGAGAGAATTCTAGTCCTGTGAAGTCTAATCCATGCTTTATTTTTTCCTAACATTTTCACTAAGCTCTGTCAAAACAAGTCAACAAGTAATTTCCAGAAACTGTTTTAAACATAAAAATTTAATAATGTAAAATATTCTAAAATATTTTTCTATTCTAGCTACTATTCTGTCAAAAACTATAATGAAAATAAGAACACCCATATGCTCTTGATAGCAATGCAAACTGGTCCAATTTTTCTGGAGAATAATCTGCCAATACATAACAAAAGCTATTTAAATGTTTTATGCCCTTTGACTTGCAATCTTACTTTAAGGATTACATTCCAAGGAAAACAATCAAAAAGAAAAAAAAGCAATGTTTATAAAAATGTTTGAAGTAGCATTTTTTATATAATACTGAAAAATTAAATAGCCCAATGTCCAACAATTGAGGAACGCTTAAGCAAACTAGAATACATCAATATACAGTAATTTGCCATAACTATTAAAAATAAGTAGGCTAAGTCAATAATTTTAAGTGAAAGAAGCAGAACAGAAAATAGAATGTGCACACTATGAATATAGTTATGCAAGAATAATAAAGACGATTTATGAGGATTTGAAAAGATCATAAAGTGATGGAAATAGCTAATGTCTTATGTCCATGGAATTTCTGTTTTCTGTAAAGTTTACAAAAACTGTTTCATAACAAGCAAGATTTTTTGATCCATGGGTTAGAGATGTATGGAACCCAGGAAGCTGCGCCCTGCAGCTTTCTGCAGCCTCTGGTTAGATGATTATAACAGGGAGTGGAGCCCAGCTGGGTCTCTAACTAGGCCCCCTTGCAGTTGCTGGGGATGGATGTACACTGACTATGAGACACTGACGTACCATTTTTAAGTGCAGTTGGAAAATGCAAAAATTTAAGAGCTGTGAGGTGTGGGAAACTAACTCTGCACTTGAAGCTGACTTCAGTCTGGTCCAAACAGAATAGAGGAGTGAGATTTTTCCATTATCTCTGGCTTCAGACAGTAGGTTGTTACATGTACAAAGATTTTTCTTTCTTAATGACGAAACAAACAACAGCAAAAGCAAAAAGAAAATGTATGAAATGTCTTCCACCAGAGCAAAGGATTGGGGAATTCTGACCTGGGCTTCTGAGAAAGGGACAACTGAAATACTGTTTTCCACCAGGATGGTTGCAATTTCTCCTTCCAGATCTCCGATTCTTCCTAGAACACGCACAAAATGTCCATTTGGATACACGGATGTAGACTCCCAGGAATCGATGCGCACAACCACCCTGAAGTCCTGCACAAAAGGAGAAAAAAAACCACAAGCCGAGCACCAGGAGTTAAGTGGGTCACTTAGAAGCACCAAACAAGAGATAAGCAGCATCAGGCTCCAAAAAGAGTGGCTAATTCACAAATAGTGGAGTCTTGTAATTTTTTCGGTTCTCTCTGTTTCACTAAATTGCCAGATGGCTTGTAAATGCTTGGCCCAATGCGTTGAAGGGAGGCATTACCTCTCTACATCAAATAAGTGGGCTGGAAATTTTAGTCTGTTAAAAGAAAGCCAACTGTAACACATTCTAGTTAACATTTGTGACACAAGGAAAAAACCCAATTATGCATAGTCCAGAGTATATTTCAAAAGAAAATATCAATTTTTTGTGTGTGGGAGTTACTTTCTAAATTCTTTGAAGTTACTTTCTAACTTCTTAAGACATCTTTTGGTGGGAAAGAAGCTATCAGTGTGAACTGAACCCCACTGCCCCCAAATTCCTGGAAACCATGGAGGTGGAAAGCAATAGTTGCAACTGGCCTTGGAGAGCCCGCATATGGCTTCAAGATGGAAAGGTACACAATGACCAGATTACTGGCTGGGGACATCCTGCTTCAGTGTCTCATTTACAAACTGCAAAACATCACGCAAATCAAATTGGGCGATGCCTGTACTCTTCGCCACAGTAAAGGTTAATTTTTAACTTTCTTGTTCTGTCTTCTCTCCAGGGCTATATATTCCTTTATGGCTAATCGATTCTGTGAAGTACCACTATATCATCCCTACAGGGCAGGGTGATCGTATTTCTATATTGCTTGCTGGAAGGAAGCTTGTTAGTGTTGGCAAAGTGTATCTATTGAAAGTTTCTGTGTTGGACAGCTGGATAACGAATGTTCTCTCCAGTTGTCCTACACAGCTCTTTCTAGGACGGTTTCTCTCTGGCCTTCATTTATTAACCAAGGACTACTTAATAGATGGTTCTATATATTTAGAATTTTTAAAAAACAGGATCTTGGAAAGCCAGATGCCATCAATAATTTATCCCTTCTTATGCAAAGGAACCAACAGTTTCCTGGTACTGCTCAAAAGCTGGCAAAGACCCAAGGAAAACAGTAGAGTCAGCTACCTGGAGGGCTTCTGCTTGCTGAGTGCTAATTCGGATTTTGGGAATTCTGTAATCCCAAGGCGTAACTAGGATTTTCTGAGCATTTTTGCCCTGAGATTGGACCTCTTCTTTGGATGGAAATGTCACCACATAATCCCGCCAGTTCTTCTGAAGGATGCCCACCACTCTGCCTTTGGGAAAACAAAACAAAATAAAGCCTTAACTAGTGAGATGTTACTCTGACCAGCTCGGCAACAAGGAAGAAAACAGGAAACACAATGCCCCAATTTTTCAAGCAAATCCATACAAGTTGAGAGATACTTAAACATTTGCCTTACTGGCATTTTATTATTAAGATGGATCATTTTTTTTAAGATAGATAATTTTTTTTATAACATTGTCAGTATGCCCTTTCTTCTGTGGGGCCTGACATGACATTTAGAATCCATTAGTCCCACTTTCTCTTTTGCCCTTACCTTATCAATCTCAGGTTTAGGTGTGTTGGGAAAAGTCAATGATTCTCACTTTTTTTACCCTATGCCCTCACTGTGCATTTTCATTATCTATCTTGCATTTTCCCACCAGCCAAGATCATTTGGTCCAACATTATATACAGAAAAGTGTACACATTATAAGTCTAATACACAACACTTTTAATCATCATTCATTGAAGTCAATAAAAAACAAACTTTAATAGTTAAAAGTGCTCTTTTCTTTTCACAAATATTTACTGAGCCCCTACCAGGTGTGAGGCCCTGTTCTCGGTGCAGGGAATTAGCAATATCAAAACTGACAAAGTCCTTGATTCCTGGAGTTTACACTCTAGTCCAGGTGTCTGTAGGGGTGGGAACCTGACAGTAAAATATATGTGAGGTAGTGATGACTGCTGAGAAAGACATAGAGTAAGGTAAGGTGACCAAAAGTGATAAAGGGTCAGAAGTGGCAGCTATTTTAAATAAAGTGACATCTGAGCAGAGACTTGAAGTGAGAAAGGAGGTGTGGGGACGTTTGGGGAAAGCTTGTTTCCAGGGTGGAAAGGATGAGTTGCTCAATGTGGCAGGATCAGAGTGATGAAGAGGATGGTGACAGAAGGCAGCCCTGCTGATGGGACCTTACAGGCCATGGTAAGGACTCTGCATTTTATTCTGAGAGAAATAGGAAGCAGCCATTGGAGAGTTCTGAGCAGAGACATGACAGGACTTAAGACTTTGAAAAGGATCACTGTGGCTCCCACGTGGAGAAAAGACTATCCGGGAGCAAGGGTGGGAGCAGGGAGACCAGTGAGGAGGCTGTTGGGGTCATCTCACCAATGGGTTCTAGTGGACCGAACTAGGAGAGAAGTGGTGGAGGGTGGCAGCAGCTGAATTCAGGCCACACATTAAAGCTGGAGCTGACAGGACTTGCTGATGTATGAAAGAAGTCGAGGATAATTCCAAGGTCTTTGGGTTCACCAATTGTGAGAATGAACTTGCCATTTATTGAGATGGGGAACACTTGGGGAGGAGCGGGTTTAGGGTAGAAATCATGAGTTTGTTATTAGGTATTTGAAGTTTGAGATGCCCATTAGACATCATGGGAAGATGCTAAATAAGACAGCTAAGCAGACAAAACTGGCAGCTGAGGAAGCGGTCTGGGCTGGAGAGAGAAAGCCAGAGGACTGAATGAGCTCTCTCAGAGAGAGTGTGCAGAGAACAAGAGATCCAGAGAGGAGCCCCGGTGCACCCAAGAGGACAGGAAGAATCAGCAAAGGAACTGAGAGGGAGTAAGCAGCACGGGAGAAGAACCCAGAAGCCAAAGATGAGGCAGTGATCCATTGGCCAAATGCTGCTGACAGGCTACAGATGCTGAGTATTATCGGCAATGAGGTCACTGGTGACCTTGACAAGAGGTCCAGGGTTTCTTTTTTGGTGGGGGGCGCCTGAATGTAGTGGCTTTGGGAGAAAATGGGTAGACAGGAAGTAGAAAGAATGCAGAGTTAACTGTCTCACTGAGTCTTGCCATAAACTAGAGCAGAGAGAAGGGCAGTAGCTGGAGGAGATGTGAGACCTGAGAGCATTTTTGCTTTTGTTTTGTTTTAAGATGGGAGATATGACAGCATATTTGGGTGCTGATGAGAATAAAATAAACCTGCAGAAAGGGGAACTGATAATGTAGGAAAATAAACAGTATCATATATTAATAACTGCAATATTTCTGGATTGTTAAGGAGAGGAAAAATAAACACTCCACAAGAAAAATGGATAATGGGTGACTTTCCAGCTGGCTCACCTGTGGGCATGGGCTCACTTGGGGACTCTCCTGAGGCCTTGTCATCACTGTCATTCTCACACAAGGCGGCGGTTCTTCCTTTCCATTCATTTTTAGGGAGCAGTTCCACAACTACCATGTCTCCATGAATCGAGCGGTTTCGAGCCTTCATCCCATGGATCAGGATGTCACTGACTAAACCTGTGTTTGGGGCAGCACAGAGGAACCCCATAAAGCCAAGGGGGATGCCACAGCAATGAGGCATTTTAAGCAAAATATATTTGAGGTCTAATCAGCATTCTTGGCAAATAAAAGCTTCCTAGTTTCAAAGGTGAAGTCGAACTTTGTTCTGCAGGTTAGGAATGAAGAACCACGGCCACCATGTCAGACCATATAATGTGCTTTCCTAAGGGCCACCCTCAGCCATCTTTTAAGGTAGGTGACAGTTCCCTGCATAAGACTATGTAAACCTGCACTGGAATTCTGTCCCACACCTTCAGGGGCCACACAGCCAGGGAGTGGTCAGCAGGCTGAGGAACCATGGACACTGCAGAACTGACAGGAGTAATTTTGACAAGCAGAATCCTGGAGAAAGCCACTGCTTCTCACTCTCCTTCAACCCGGCCATGCTCCCTTGACTATTAGGGCTTTGTCACCCTGACACTATAGAACTAAGAACTACACTCTATTATGATACAACTTACTTACACTTTTTTTCATTTTTATTACTTTTGTAAGGATTCCAATAAGGCAATATAAGACACAGAGGCAGTACAGGGCAATGTCTTTTATTTATTTATGTATTATTTTTGTTTGTCTGTTTTTTTAGCCAAGGAAGACTGGCCCTAGGCTAACAGCTGTGCCCATCTTCCTCTACTTTATATGGGACGCCACCACAGCATGGCTTGACAAGCAGTGCATCGGTGCGCGCCCAGGATCCGAACCTGCGAACCTCAGGCTGCCAAAGTGGAACACGTGCACTTAACTGCCACGCCACCAGGCTGGCCCCAGGGCAACGTCTTAAAGTCACAGCCAAACTGCCACGGTGGCAGGTTCGCCCCCACCACTTCCCAGTAACTGTGCTTCTCTGTATTTTAGTATTCTCACCTGTCACTGTGTGTATCTTCATGTACGAAAGGTAGAGAACCTACATTAGTGCTTAGATACCTACATTAAGCGCTTAGAACAGTACCTGATGTATAGTGAGCTCTCAAAATACTAGCTATTATCTTCTTTTGTGTGTGAGGAAGATTGGCCCTGAGCTAACATCTGTGCCCATCTTCTTCTATTTTGTTTATGGGACGCTGCCACAGCATAGCTCGATGAGCGGTGTGTAAGTCCACACCCGGGATCTGAACCTGCGAACCCCAGGCTGCTGAAGTGGAGTGTGTGAACTTAACCACCACGCCACAGGGCCGGCCCCAATATCATTTTTTAAAGTTTATTACAATAAAGTCAGAAATTATAGACAAAAAGCTAGGGGAAAACCAACCCATGATCCCACACACCCAGGGTGTGTGGGGACATGTGACATGGCATATAGGATGTGACAACTTCAGCTTTGCTTTCTTCATTGTGTAATATCAGAATAAAAAAGGAGTATGGAAATTTATATAAGGCTTATACTAAACCTGAATCTTTGCTGCTGGCTCCTTGAAGTCGAACGAAAGCTTCTATTTGTGCTCTATGTTTGTTGACGTTCAGAACTCCCTAAAATCATAATAAAAATCATGTGACAAATTTCTCTTCTGCCTGCGTTGCCTCCAAAAGTTACAGTTTTTAAAAACTATATGAAAATATCCTCATAATATTCTTATAAGGTTTGTGATCCCTTTCTTTAGGAATAATATTCACCACAAAGGTTTCTATTTTCTAGAGAACATACCATCATTTTGAACTACTCTTAGCTATACCTAGCACTGAAAGTGCCAGGATTTATCTTACCTAAGTGATGAGTGGCCTTTAAAAAAATCTTCTTCCTCAAAATATCCTCCCAGGAACACCATAAACTTTACCACCAAGTTGGAAGCCGCTCTAGGTAGACTCATTTAAAATACCCACACTTTAGGGAGGGACTTTAGTGTGGTGTTCTCAAACTTTGGTCGGCATACAAACCATCTGAGTTGCTGGTTAAAAATGTAAATCCATGATGGAACAGTTCTGTATCTTGATTATGGTGGTGGATACACAAATCTATGCATGCGATAAAACTGCGCAGACACACACACAGACAAATGAGTGTATGTAAATATCTGTTGAAATCTGAATAATAATTTTATCTGACTCCTTCTCAAGCCCCTGACAGCATCTGGGTTCTGGGTCCTGGGGGACCACAAAATGGCTCTTGAAAGGAGCAGGAAAATGGCAAAGGAGTGAAGAAGCAAATTTTACCAATTTTACAATTTTGCCAAACCTTCATACCTTGATTCAAAAATATATTCTCTTTCCCAGTGACAGGAGGCATTTACGAGGCTACTTGTGTGATGCTCAATATGTAACCCAATTAAGAACATTACAGAGTAGCTCCAAACCAGACAGCAATGTCTACAGGAAGAACAACTCTCAAATCACCTTAAACGTCAACAGCCCTCGCTTACTCACGCCCGTCTTGTTTACAACCTTTGAAATTAGAGGCTGTGACAGGAGGCAAGAAAAGAAGAGAAGAATACACACTGGCTGGGCCTGATGCCGATTCTTCATCATCACCTCACCTGGATGTAGCGTCCAGATTTAATGCCGGCTTCTAACACTTCCAGGGGAAGATGTTCTGGGTACTCCTTCCCATGGCTCTCCTGACTCTCATTTTCTCTTTCCCGTCGAGACTGAAGGATAGAATCATAAAGCTCGTGGGCTGCCTTTAAGTCAGGCCAAAAATTGTCCAGATAATTCTGAATTTAATAAAAGCAAAAGAGAAACATGGTCATTATAGTTGTATTACAAAAAATCCTGAACAGGAACTGCTGGCATGCAGTTTTGAAGGGGTGTTAAGTGAGCATTACCTTCCCAAGCCTCAGGCTACTGGTTCATTTTCTACCATCTCATGAATCCCTGAAGCCTTACCAAATGAATGCCAGGGAGGCTGCCCCTACTACGGAACACTTCCATCTCCCTGATTACTCTGCACTTTCAAATCTCCCTCTCTCTCCACAAACACACACACACACACACACGCATGCATGTCCACGCACATGTCATCTGCCTGTCTTTACACGTATCTCATTGTTAGACAATGGCCTACAGTAAATGGAGAGGAAAAGCTCCCACGTGTGCATCCTTGTCTTTTTTTTTTTCTGAGGAAGATTCACCCTGAGCTAATATCTGTTGCCAATCTTCCTCTATTTTGTATGTGGGTTGCTGCTACAACATGGCCGCTGATGGGTGGTGTATGTCCACGCCCGGGAACCGAACCAGGGCAGCTTAAGTGGAGCACATCGAACTGACCAACTAGGCCATGGGGTTGGCCCCTGCATTCTTGTCTTTTTTTTCCTACCAGAAATGTTTGAAATTTATAAGAAAATTTGATAGGCACATAAAAATGGCAAAGAGTAGTATATAAAGAAATGTCCCAACCCACTGGCAATGTCAAATGAGCAGTGAGGGGGAAGTAAAGATGTTTCTATTCTTTGGTATTAGGCTTTCTCCTCCTCATAAGCTCCCAGAGGACCGAGTCTTTTTTTGTTACTATCCACAGACGTAGTAACCCTCCTCATGTAGGTGACACTTGATGTTGCTATTAGTGTGATGACCTGGTATGAAGCAAAACTTGGAAACAAGTGGTCAGGTTCCCCTCCAAGTAGACTATCACTGAATGTTATTGCACCTCTTGGCGTAATTCTTTCAGAGAGGCCCTAGACAAAACACCAAGGCGACTGCCCACAAGAGGATGGTGTGGTGAGGTTGGCTGTGCTACATCTACTTCCTGTGTCCAGAGTACACTCCCTCAGATGGGTGACTCTCACTGAATAAAGTCAGATTTATGTGAGATTTTAACTCAACTTTAAGTCTAAGGTAGAGTCTAGCGCATTCTCTTTTCTCAAATTAAAAAGAAAATAAATTATCCTTATTGTCAACTTCAGCATTTCTCCCACTAATTTCAGGGTTCTGTTCAAACCGCTTCCCTTCTTTCCCTAGTCCTTCCAGAACTTCTGTCTGTGCTAACATCAGTACCCCAATTCTGGTCACTTACCACTTATCAACACCAAATTTTGCCACTAAGAACCACCTCTTCAAGAGGGATTTGTTGTCTTTCCTCCTCCCCATCTAACTTCAAGTCTCCACAGGAAGTTTTGGGCTTCCCTCTCATCTGAATCTCACAGTAGTTCTTTTTTTCTGCTATCATTCACCTCTATGAAGCCCCTGATCACACAGTTTGCTTAGGAAGCCCTGTACAAAATAAAACTGTACTATGCTACTGGGCTACAAAGAAAAGTAATTTTCACGAAAAGTAGAAAAATGTAATTTTAGTCAACTGTCCTCTGCAAGAACAAGACATGATGTATTGCAACAGAAAACACAAGTGACACTGCCATTAATATCCAGTGCCCCTGGAATTCTCTCAAATGCCAGAACACTTTTTTATAGCAGGGCCAAGAAAATTCTATTGGCAAATCTTTAGCAATACATGCACCTGGGAACCCTTTTAGAATCTACAATGCAAAATCCAACCAGACTTTCTGTAAACTGACAGGGTAATGGAAGGCCTCATTCTAGTTTCTGAATCAAAAAATGATATCAACCATTGGAACTTGATCGACCAACTGGGCAGACAGAAGAGATCAGTAATCTATTGAGAGGTTAACAGTCATCCTACTCTCCCAAAAGCTACCTAAGAATAGGAGAACTGTGTTGCTAAGACAGCCCAAGTAACTGTCACCGACAATGCTGCTCCTGTCTATGACCTGTACACCAAGCTGATCCGACAGCCTTCACATAAATAATACCAAATCTCACCCCTTCCTTTATCCCTATTAACCCCACGCACATTCACAAGTAGGAAAGAAGGAGGAACAGCGAAAAAACAAGACTGGCCTTTACAGCTGTGTTTTGTGGTATTCAGAAACATAATTTGGGAGGCAGGAAAGCATGGTGGTTAAGAGCTTTGGAGTCAGACTGCCTGGGTTCTAATGCCAGTTTTACCACTTTCTACCTATGTGATCTTGGGTAAGTTGCTTAACCTTTCTGTGCTTTAGTTTTTTCACCAATGAAATGGGGATGATAACACCTACCTCATAAGGTTGTTGCAAGAATTAAATGAAATAATACACTTAGAAAAGTCCTGGCAAAGATAAACAGTGGCTATTACTATTAGGTGGAACCATGTAAAATTGCCATTTTGTAGGTCAAAAACAACAGAATACTGGCAATTTTATAAGATTCAACCTATCATAATCATTACTAATATTGTTATTGTTATAACTATAAACATGAGTTTACTGTCAATGGGAGCTTATTGGGCTGAAGTCTTGGATGCTGTGGGCCATACAGTCACAGGGAGTTTGCCCAAATTTGCTAAAGTCAAGATTAATTAGTTGGGGAATAACAAAGACATGGAACTTCTTGAAGTCTTCCTTCATTCTTTATTTTCCCTTTGCTGTATTGCCAAAGCGATCTAAAGCCTTATGGGAAGTACTCAGGAAATGAACACACACACATTTATACACATAACAGCTAGAAATACCTTGAAAGAAATCACAAATACTCCTTCTGTTTCGCTTCCATACTGCTGAATTGCCTCTTCATCTTCTGTCACCATAACGATTGGCATCCTATCCTGGCAGTGGTGATAGTACCAAACGGCTGCATTGTAGATGCTCCTAGAAAAGCAAAGGGCATGTGAGCCCTCCCAAGGCAGACAAACACAAGCTATTGTTCAGAACTCCACACCTGGCTTTTAATAGGCTATCCTTTGGTTTATACAGACAACCATTCATTCATTCAATCAACAAATACTCCCTGAGCACCCGTCATAAATGTGCCCTGGGTTGGGTACTCTAGGTGATACGAAGATGAATCAGAAAGCACTTGACATCTCTTTTTCCCTAAGAAATCCAAGCACCACAGCAACCTCTTTCATTTCTTGACATGGCCAAGAAACCATGAGGCTCTGCCATCTTTTAACACCTTTTAATTGGAGGGTTGAGCCACGCAGCACCACACAGATGACAAGCTAAGCTATGTGAGGCTGAAAAGATGAAGAAACAAGTCTTTGGCTAAGAGAAATACCAGGTTGCAAGTAGCTGAAAATCATAATCAAACAAGATCTGATAAGGAATCACATGAAATGTCCGAAAATCTTCCTGAACAGAATCTGAATTAGAAAACAGAGTCTAGGTCTGGAGATGTGCGTTCAAGACTGGATTATGTTCCCGGTGAAGTGTAAAAGTTGGACAGTCAATTTCTCTCTTTCCCCTTCTGCAGATTAAGATGCTATATAGGGTTCCTTGAGTTCTAAACTTAAAAAAGAAAATTCAGCCAACATATACTGAGTACTTACTATGTGCCAGGCTGTGCAGTTAGTGTGATCATTCTGAGTACTCACATGTGACCCAATCTAGAGAAAGATTTGCTTTTTCCTTTCTGGTACTGAGCCCTGTGGGAACCTGAGAACTATAATTAAGGACTCAGAATGTATCAACACTTATTTTGCTTTAGAGAAATTAAATATTTAATGGCTATACAGATAAAGAATTACAAGGAAAAAGATGATTTAAATGTTTTGTATGGATAAGACATTTTAAAGCTTAAGGTCTCTTTTGCCCTCTACAGAAGAGTGTAGCAGAGGCTATCGGTGCCCAGCACCTGTACCCTGGGCCCACCTCTGACTTCAGCTACAGCTGGGTGGGCAGCTCCATCCCGCCTCAAGGGCTCACTTAGCAGAATTAACACCTCTGGGGAAGGACCCTCAGCTAAAGGGGGTGTACTAACTAAATGCCCTAGCCTCTGTCCTTGGAGGTGACTCCTGAGGCACACTCCACGGCTTCTCAGAGGTTCTCAGCAGGCCTGGGCCTTAGTTTCCCACAGCAGGAACACATCCTTTACTGCTCTCTCTCCTCTGTCTCACTCTCCCCACCTCCTCACTCCTGCTTCTGGGAATCGCCTCCCACATAAACAACCCACATCCAAGTCCTTGCTTCAGGCTCCGCTTTTAGGTGGATCTAAACTATAACACTGCTCTTCCTAAACTGCTCTATCAGAATTAACCTACCAGTTTCAGTTTAATAAGATTGGTGGGATATTAGAGCAACCTATACCAGAAAAACTGAAATGATCTTGGCTTAAAAGTAGGACCCCCCTACCCCAAACACACACACAAGCATTAAAGTTATGACTTCTAAAAAAAAAAAACAAACACTGGTGATCTCAGTAAGTAAAAATTAGCCATCAAAAAGTAAAAAAAATAAAAAATAAAAAAATTAAAAAGGCATACCTTGGAAAAAAAAAGTTATGATTTCTATATCACTGGAATGATCCTGTTAGCTGTTAGGGTCTGGGGCAAACTTACTCTGGGTACCTATATCTCCCTAATTACAATTTCTAAAATATATCAATTATGTATGCAAATATCATATCTAAAATATTGACACATTAAGCATTTCAGTATTAATCATGGTTCCAGAGTAACTGTTGATTTGTTTTAGCATATGCCTTAGATCAACTCCCAAATAGCCAATGATAAAGAAAGTTAAGAAGATGACCATGTGAAAACTCACAGCAATTCAGTGCCATACCTGGTCTGCCACTTTTCCAGGGATTCTCCCCTTTCCCGAGGGAGATAGCAGTACTGCTGGAATTCATTAGCAAAGAGAATGCAATCATGACGCGCATCCTTCAGGAGGTTTCGCAATTTGTTATACTGTCTGTGACACAGAGGAGAAAAATAAATCTAACATAGCAGGTACTCATCTACTGCCAGCTCTTGCTAAGGATCACAAAAGATGAGGCATTTTAGAGCAAAAGATTGATTATTTAAAACTTGAGAAACATTTATTTATGTTGGCCTCAGTGTGTGCAGTTCTACCAGGCTGCTGTTTCTCAATTTTGCCTGCTAGAATGTGCTTGGGCAGGGCCTCATTAACTAGTTTGTGGATCAATCAACCCCTCCCCTCTCCTTTCCCCTTCCGAGACTTCTGGCCCTTTATTGTGTAATTATAGACCCTGACCCCCATAGCCCCCTCTTCAAAGGCTCACAGAGGACACAGAGGTTAGCATTTTATTTTTTATACCTCACTTTGTTCTATTAATGGCATTAGGCATTAGTATGTTTTACTTTTTGCGGGCAGCCTTAGAAAAGGACGTGTAAGGTAAACAAGTTTGGGGATTTATCTGTGAATTTTATTTACACAGCCACCACATTTACATGAATGAGGGCTAGCTTCATCTGTTAGATAACTAACAGAAAGTTTCCGTTTCTTCCCATCAGGAGACGCTTCCAGTAATGCCAGCCAAAGTTGCAAATCAAATATGAAGTCTCATATGGGTCAGTTTCTAAGAAGGTGCTTTTTAATAGTCTAGGTGATATGAAATACAGAAAATATTCACAGTTATTTTCAAGGAAGTCAATTTTTTATTTAAAAATGGATTGACATTAAACCAGATGTTAAGTTAACGTATCAATCATTCAAGGTAGATGACCGGCATTTAATATAACAAAATTTGTGCCCTTCCATTCCCACTTCCAACCTACCTCTATGGATTTAAAAAAATGAGTCTTTTCATTAAAGCAAAGGCAGAACTCTCCAATTTATCTTCTCTAAATAAATGCTAACCACCAATAACTGTGTTGTCCCAATGGCTCATTAGAAAACAAGAAACGCTGATTTTATTTTCATAGTAATTCTAATTTTGAGCCATCTTCAAAAGAATCATCAAGTAATAGCAACTTATAAAATTTCCTAATAGACAAAAGGATTCAGTTTCATTTCTGTGAATGGCAGCTTTACTTAATAGAATTCCACTTGTGTAAACAAAAGCTGTGCCCTGCCCCAAAATGCCTAGAACGTACTAAATTGGTAATTTTCCCACCTTCACAAGATACACTTAAAATCATTTTTAAACCCCCTTAGACTATACATAGAAGGGCCTACACCAACCTGTTAATGGTGAATGCCTCCAGTAAGGCAAAGACTTTCTGCTTTACACATTTCTGTCATGCGTGAATTTTTTTAAATGAGCACTTATTTGTCAAGAAATAAAAAATATTTTAGAAGAGGCTTCATAAACATCTATAATTTACTATTTCAGAGAAAACACTGAAAAAACATTGCCTGTTTTTCCTGATCCTATCCTCCATAGCTTTTGCTCCTTTTATGGCCCATCACATTTTCTAGACCCCTAACAAAGCACCGGAACTTAGCGCAGCTATTTGTTTACAAATGATCTCCCTCACTAAACATCCTTCACTCAGCAAATATTTGCTGCTCTCCTTCTATGTGCCAGGTCTTTTGCTCCATTGAATGCCCTCAGGGGACACCACCCAGACATCCCACTGCTGCCCTTCATCTGCAGCGGTCCTGCTCATGGTGAACACAATAGAACCACCCATTCTTCAAAAAAATCAAAACTAGAACTACCATATGACCCAGCAAGCCCACTTCTGAGCACAGACCCCAAAGAATTGAAAGCAGGGTCTCCAAAAGATATTTGTCCACAAAGGTCATAGCAACACTATTCACAATAGCCAAAAGGTGGAAGCAACCTAAGTGTCTATCGACAGTTGAATGGATAAATAAAATTTGGTGTATACATACAATGCAATACTCAGCCTTAAAAAAGAAGGAAGTCCTGACACATGCTACAACATGGATGAACCTCGAAGATGGCATGCTAAGTGAAATAAGCCAGTCAGAAAAGGACAAATACTGTATGATTCCACTCTTATGAGGTACCTACAGGAGTCAAATTCATAGAGATAGAAAGTAGAATGATGGCTGCCAGAGGCTGGAGGAGGGGGAAATGGGGAGTTAGTGTTTAATGGGTGTAGAGTTTCAGTTTAGGAAGAAGAAAAAAGTTCTGGAGATGGATGGTGTGATGGTTGCACAACAATGTCAATGTACTCAATGCCATTGAATCGTACACTGAAAAAGGCTTAAAATGGTAAATTTTATGTTATATGTATTTTCCCACAATTTTAAAAAATTGCTATATTAACTGACAAAACAAAATAAAACAAAAAAAAAGAACCACTCATTTCAGTGGGATAAGTGCCATGAAAGGAAAAGTGCGGGGTTTGACAAGAACACGGGAGGGATGGGTAAGGCATCTGGGAGGAGGTGACACCCAAGACCTGAAGGATGAACGAGAGTTAGCTAGACAAAGGCCCAAGGGAGGACAGAAGGGAAGGGACAGAATGTTCAAGACAGCAGACAGTATGCGTCATCTTTGTATCTTTGGTGCTTAACCCACAGCAGGTGCTCAACAAACGTTTTCCAGATGAATAAATGAACTCACAACCCTCTGGGACAACAGTGATCCAAACACAAGACAATAGTGTCTCAGAACAAAGCCTGGCATTTTCAGAATCCAGTGACTCTCTTGCTGGGCTTCATATCCATCACTGCATTTGTTATCACACCCGCACTTCAGACCCAGGGATTCTCGAATCCTCTCCTCCCCAAAAACTGATGTCCCACCAGCCAGAGCCAGGGGGTTTACCACCAAATGAGTAATGACAATCCTTCCCAATGTTTAGAAAAATATATAACTTAACAAAAAGAATTTTCTCCATTTTAAGCCCACTCCCCTATATTTTCCTTAGACTTTAGTGTGTGCTTCCATTTGTCAGCTCCCTATCGCCAGATAAAACAAATGAGCAAATGGCACAGAATATTAATGGGGAACACAGGAGAGAACAGCGAATCACTCTGCGTGTGACAGTCGGGTTGTCTTATAGGCATGTGGGCTTATGGCCATAATTTAATAGTGCATATATACAATACGGTCATATTTTTTGCTAGTCAGGGTTGGTGGTGCATATGATGGAATTAGATATATGAGTATCTTGCATGGAGCCAGCAAAGAACATCATGGTGACTTGAACAAGTTTGGCCTAAATGATAGGAGAACGACAGTTTCAGAGAGTCAAGTACCATCAAATTATCTTAATTTTTAAATTCCAGTATTTCAGAAAAACTCGTTTCCCTGAACCGGCTTAAGTGTTTTCCAAATTTCCATTATCTAAACATTTCAAACAATTTCTTAGGGGGACAGCTAAACATACCTTCTTTAGATTGATTTGCTATTTTTATTCAGTGGTGGCCTTAGCTACAGATGCAACATCCCTTCCCCCGCTGACGGTACTCTCTGGGGATAAGAGTGGGTGGCCCACAACCAGCAGGGAGACCTACAAGAAGTGAGATCTGTTTTCAATGATGCATTTCTTCAACCAGTTTTCGCAGAGCCCTGGTAGGGTCTCGTAAACTTACTTTCAGAGGTCCTTGAGTTTTCTACAAGAATTTTAAAAGTTTATGTTTCCATTTATATTATGTGATAATCTTAAAACATTTTTAATGGAGTATATTTTGGACAAGCTGAATGACCACCTTCTAACTGTAATGCCATTGGGTGTCAGTGCCCGCCCTCTTGGAAGCCTCAAGGACACCTCAAACTCATGACCTCTCCCCCCTCCCCTTTCGACCTCGTCCAGAGTTCTCTCTCTATCCAGTTACATAAGCCAGAAACCTTTATCCTTGACACTACCTTCTCCCTCACCTGACTTATCTACATCCATTATCAAGTTCTATAGATTTTTAAAAAATAACAGCTTTCTTGAGATATAATTCACATACCATAAAATTCACCCTTTTAAAACATATAATTTAATGGATGTTAGTATAGTCACAGAGTTATGCAACCATTACCACTATGTAATTCCAGAACATTTCATCACTCCAAAAAGAAACTTATACCCATTAAGCAGTCACTCCCCATTTCCCCTGACTCCCAGCCCCTGGCAACCACTAACCTATTTTCTGTGTCTTGGATTTACGTGTTCTGGACATTTCATATAAATGGAATCATACAATATATGACTTTTTTGCGTGTCTAGCTTCTTCAACTTAGCATAATATTTTCAAAGTTCATCCATGTTGTAGCATGTATCAGTACTTCAACTGTTTTTACGATTGAATACTATTTCATCATATGGATAAACACATTTTGTGTAACCATTATCGGCTGACGAACATTTGGGTCGTTTCCATTTTTTTGGCTATTATGAATAGAGCTGCTACGAGCCTTCGTGTACAAGTTTTTGTGTGAGCGTGTTTTCAATTCTCTTGGTCATATACTTAAGAAGTTCTATAGATTTTACCTACTAAATAGCTCTTGGAAATGGCTATTTCTCTCCGTCTCTAAGCTATCAACATCTCTCATCTGAACTAAAGCAATAGCCCCCTCTCTTCTTTTCTCTATGCCTCTTCTCCACTGGCCCAGAAATCTTTTCAAAACAGGAATCTGATCATGTTATCCCACCCTTCTGAAAACCCTTCACTGACCCTGCTGAGGCCCATAAGGCCCATCATCCAGTCCAGGGCCTTCTTTCAGGTCCTAGCATGCCACTTTCCCTCCCCATGACCTTGCACAGCAGTTTCCTCACCTGGAAAGCTTTTCTCCTTTCTTTGCCTGGTTTACACCTACCCATCCCTGACAGCTCAGTAGAGGCAGCTCCCTCAGGAAAGCCTTTCCTCGCCTCCCTGACTAGTTTGGGCTCTCCTGGAGCTGCGTACCTGTCCTTCATCTCCAACTCCTTGTGTGATTACCTGATCACTGCCTGTCTCCTCCCAAGACCGTCTGCTTCTGTCCACCAGTGTATCCTCAGTGCCCGCACAGCTTCCGGCACAAATAGTCTCTCAATACATATTCATTGAATAAACAAACAAACACCTGAATACATGAATGCATGAGGTGGACAAGACAGCCTGACAGAGTTATCAAGTGACCCCTCATTAAATAAGCATTTGAGGATTGTTAGATGGCAGAATGTGTGATCATCCTGAACAATCAACAACTTGATGTTTTTCATACTGTTTTGTACAATACACTTATGAGAACAGGCCTTCTCTGTATTGATATTATTGAAATCAAAATACAAAATCACATTCAAGGGCCGGCCCCGTGGCTTAGTGGTTAAGTGAGCGCGCTCCACTGCTGGCGACCTGGGTTCGGATCCCGGGCTCGCACCGACGCGCTGCTTCTCTGGCCATGCTGGGGCCGTGTCCCACATACAGCAACTAGAAGGATGTGCAGCTATGACACACAGCTATCTACTGGGGCTTTGGGGGGAAAAAATAAATAAATAAAATCTTCAAAATCACATTCAAGACAGAACCAGATTAGAAGCTATGTCTTCCTATTGTTAAACCCAACTCTGGTTATTTCATTTCAGTAAAACAATGTTATCAGTCACTTTAATGTTCATTTGCAGTTTTCTGATTTTGAAGCTTTGTTTGTTTAATTTGAAGGTCCGATTTGATTTTAGAGTTGTATTAAATACTTAAGCATGAGGACTTATACCTAGATTTATGTTTAAATATATTTAAGTAACAATAAAATAAAATAATTTAAATTAACACTGGGTGTCCATGAGAATTTTTTTCTTTTAGAAACAAAGCTGATAACATTACTCATGTTGAGTAACACTGATGTATTGGATGGGGAGTTAGCTCATGCTGACCTCTTAGATCCTCTCCAAATATGATATTCTATGATTCAAATCTTATGTTATATACTGAGAAACTGAGGCACGAATTGTTGAGACTGTGAAGCTACACAAAGGAACTCAGGAGGGGGTCAAGGCATCCTTATACCAGACACTAGACCAGATGAGGTATTTTTAACTGACAAAGCTTTCCTAAGCAATAATGTTCCTAAAAGCATATCAAATAGAATGAATTATTTACTAGCATCTCAAAAATCTCCAAGGAAGAACTGAAAAACAAAACAAAATGTTTTCCCAAAATGAAGCAAAACACCACAGAGCCTCTGCTAGGCCACACTTGGTTAAAGATAAGTCAAATTACTTACACTTAACACTTACGGAGTCCAAATCAATAAAGCAAACCTCCTGGATGTTATGTAGTCAACAGCTATCATCAATTCTAAAGTTAGCTTTCCATATACAATACTTTCTAGGGTGCAGGTTATACTTTGGTCATTTAGCCGTTTCAACCTGAATACACCAGCTGGTTGCTTAGCAGGTAAACAAAGCACCACGTCCCAAACTTGCCCGATCCCTTTTCCTGCCTCTTCTGCCTCTTCACCAATCATGTTCATCCTGCTTTAAGACCAATCCCAAACCTATTTGCTTCACAGGGCTTTCTGGCCTAATCCCCACACCCCATATTTACTCGTGCACTTTGCATAATCCACATTAAATGATCTTGCGTGTGTCCAAGGTGTGTCATAATTACCTTCTTGCTTCTTGCATCTAACCCAAACAAGACAACAGGTTTGTTGAGAGAGAGACTAAGACTTCTTTCTGTACTCCAGAAGGAACTAGGAGCTCAAAAAGTGCTTACCAAATAGGAAAAACAGGGTGTTATCATATGGGCCTATTTCATAACTCCTCATCTTTTGTTTTTACATTTAATGTATTCAGAGACAAGGTAAAGCAATGGAAAATCAATAGTTTTTCATCAAGTTAAGTACTTTTGAAATGTTCAGGAGAAAAAAACATTTAAATTCCAATTCTTTGCTTTTGAATGTCCCAGGAACTGGCTTTTAAAACACTCCTTAATGTTAAAAATATTTTAGAAAACAGAAGTTGAAAAGGCTCGGCAGTGTGTTAGCAATCAGAACGATAACAACAAATTGATTTTAGTAGCAGAAATTGAAATACGACATTTGGAGCAGCATTTAAACCTGGATGTGTATAAACATCTATATCTTTGTGTCTGAACAAAATCAACTTCAAGCTCATTTAAAAATATTCTACCTGAAAAACCTGCACACAATCTAGTTAAACGCACATTTTTTTGAACTGAGCACATAATAAGGACAACTTATCATTTTCATATACAAATAAACATACTTCATCTTTTGCTACCTTAAAAAACCACAACATTTAAAAAAGAATGAACACATAGTTTCTGTTGTTTAAATAACCTGGGGTGTTAAGAGGTTGAATATATAATTCTAATATGCTGTTTTCATACAGTCTTTAAGTTCAAATCATAAATCTTTCCCAATGTTAAATGAAGCAGAACCATTTTTTAGAGTACAGTCGGCCCTCCGTATCTGCAGGTTCCGCATCCGCGGATTCAACCAACCGCGGATCTTACATGTAGGTACTATGTTTTTGATCCACAGTTTGGACTGGTTCCGTGGTCCTGGAACCAATCCCCCACTGATACCGAGGGGCGACTGTACTTGTTTAAAAGGTGAACAACTGTTATTCATTTAGGCACAAGGCAAGCATTTTAGACTCATTTCAATCAGAAATCTTTTGTTTAGCAAATACAACTACTATGGTTGGTAGTTATACTGGTAATCTAAAAATAAAACAAGTTAATTCTGGTTTCAATGACTAAATCACTACAAGTACAATTTGCATCCACAATAAAGGAGTCTAAAATCTAAAAATAAAGTACTCTTTTTCCCAAGGAAAAAAAAAGTAAGCTTCTGAAACAATATGTCTATAAATAAGATTACATAAAATGCGTTATCAACAAGAAATCAGCAATAACTCGGCTACTATAAAAATGCAAACCAAAAGCCAAGAATCTTAAATACCCACATACTGGGGACACTGCAGTTTATTGATCTACAGTCAGATCTTTTGGCCAGGTGTTGAAGCAGAAATATAAAATAATGTTACTGCATTCCTCACTAGCAAAGAGAATACCAAATTAGTTCAAAAAGTCTCTTCTGACAAAGTAATGAATTCCTCCCTTCTCCATCCAACAAGGGGCTTTTTCTAAGGGGGAAACAAAAATCTATGCCATAAATAAATAAATAAATAATGAAAACCAGATACCTCCGGCCTCTTTGATGCTGCACAGCTTGACAAGCCGTTTGCATGAAAATAATTCCCTTTAATTCAGGAAACTCAAGGATCTCCAGGTAATCTTGAACAATTTTCCAATCTGGGATCACGTAATGAGTCACATCACTAGACAAGAGTTTCCCATCTGAAGCATAATTCAAAACGTAAGAGATTAGACAACATTTGCAAACCTGGATTATTTCAATGTTATGGTGCCCTAGCGTGCAAAATCACTTCCAATCTTACTACACGGTGAAGTTTTTTAAAGACAAGATAAATCTACTTTGGTAGAGGCACAAAGTTCAGGTAGATTCAGCACCGTCATTTTTCCGAAGCTGCGACAAATAAAAGCTCAGTGTTGTTTATGGTGTTGCCAGGGGAGAAGGAGATGACTGATTTTTTAAAACAAACAAGCAAATCTTCAGAACAACCTGACTATTTCTGCGTTAACTCACTGACATACGCACATTCAAATGGGGCACCCCAAAATATACATGTTAACCACTTGTTTCGCCCAGCTATTTCAAGTCTCTGTCTCAAGTTGGTGAACATGCTCAGGAGTCTCCAAAGACCAAAAAGACTGAATTGACCAGAAAAGATGCTCAGTGCAAGCAAGGGCAGCGGTAGGGTTTCCACCCTGCCCGTGTCTCAGGGAGCTGGTTAGCCAAGCTGTAACTAAAACGTTCACCTTAACATAAGCTGAGGATTCCAAATATTCGCTGAAAAGGACCCCCACGCTCATCTCCCACCAGAGGGAAGAGAACCAGTAATCTTCCTCGATAAACTGGTCACCCTGCAGCCTAGAAACCAAGTAGGGAAGGTCTAATGCACAGCAGTCCCAAATCTAACTTCCCCACGACCTTCCTGTACAACGAGGGCCCAGATTATTCACAAATCCTGCAGTGAAGAGGGTGTCCACTGGATAAATGTCTGAGGCATCGGTGCCGGCAGGTCAGAATATTTGTGCGGAGCAAAGCAACGTAAAATGACGCCACCGGCTCGCGCCCCGCCTCTCACTGCGGGGCCAACAGCTCAGGAACTCTCCAGTCACCACCACACGGTCCTGGGGCGCAAGAGGGGGCAGGTTCCTGAGCCCACAAGCCCCTCGGAAGGCAAATCACCGGGCCTCGGGGCTAGGGGGGCGTCCGTCTCCCGGCCCTTCCATGTTATGGGGCGGAGCAGTCGGGGAGTCCCGTGTGGGGAGCCCAGAAGCAGTGGACGAGGGGCGTCTCTGCGGCTCTGAAGCCGCCGGCCCCTCGCTCCTGACCCGCAGTCGGGCCGGAGGTAATGCCTGCGGGCGGGCGCCTCCGCGGCCTCGCGCTCCGCCTCCAGGCCGTGCCCTTCCTCCTCACGGCGGGCGCTCGGCCCCGGCCCCGCCGCCCTCCGCTTCCCTCGCTCCCGCCCGGCCTCGGCCCCCCTCGCTCTCGCCCGGCCGCCCTCTGCTCCCCTCACTCCCGCCTCGGCTCCCCTCGCTCCCGCCCGGCCGCCCTC